CTCCGTAACATTTGAAAAATCGGGTATAAATTTATTAGCCCGGGATTTATGTTTGCAACTCTCCATAATAATTAGGTAATTTAGTATAGCAACGAAGAAGATCACAAATGAAAAGGTCAATATGTACGAATTAGCAAGTACTTTGGTAATTTTTCTCAAAACTACCAGATTTTTTTAAAAAAAAGCCACAAAATATGGACTAAAAGATTTTTTCTGAAACAAAATACAATATGTAGGGCAAGCTTAATTATCAAAGTTAAATTTAGCACCTCAAACTCTCCATTTAAAGTTAAAAATAACCATTTTTTACGCGATTTCTCCAAGTATATAGAAAAGTTTTCCACAGAAATCCGTAACGTTTTCCAGGAAGTCCGTGACAGTTATCATAAGAACTCCAAACAAGTTATCATAAGAACTCCATCCTTCGTGTAACACTTCCTCCCCCGTGATACTGTGATTCCATGAAAAACCTTATCTCTGGTGTGTTATCAGCTTTGGTATAAATAGAGTATCTAGTTTTAATACTTAAAACTGCAATGAAATGTGGATATTTTACTCTGTTTCTATCATTGTGACATTAACATGTTAACAAGATCATAGTGTCAAACACCATAAAATCATACTCTTTATACATTATCATTTTTGTGCTGGATGTCATTCATCTTCTTCAGCAAAGTACATTTGACTATTCTCAGTGGCTTATATTAAACTAATATTTCACTGTAACTTTGTGTTCTCTGATATCATTCTCAAATTAAGGAACTGGAAGATGGTAGTTGCAATAAAGGTCTTCATGGACAAATCCTCCTTCATCTTTTCCCTTTTTATCTGCAGAATGAAAATCAATAAATATTTTGTTACAAGTGTAAGACACTAGAAATGATATTGACATTACATTTAATAAGCTGGTCATGATTGACAGAAAAATTTCATATTTGAAGTAACTAAACATTAAAGATAAACAACAACACATAATATATAACAGTAAAAAATATTGATCTTCTTGAATGTGAAACATGACTATTTTTAATGTTTTATTTACTTATCAATTATCATGCAATGAAATCCAAAAGTTATTAATATATTTTGATAATTGTTTATCTTTCCGATCTCAACTAAAAATTAATCAATTATTTTACATGTATTTACCTTTGATATATATATTTCAGGATCATAGGCAGTGCAAACAGTTGATTAATGGTCCATATTGAACAACTGTATATTCTATACTTGTCATATACCTCCTTGTCTCTACATCTGAAATGGTTTAATCAAATATTATATTTTTAATTCAATCATAATTTGATAGGTACCATATTAACATGTATATATAATTGAAAAAGGAACAAGAATAATATGGAAGGTTAAAAAATATCCGAATTACTGTGCAATGTCCGAATTTTGTATAACTTTAATATACACTAGAATTAAAGTGTTTCTCCATTGTTTATTTCAATAAGTTAAAATGGTTTGAATTAATTTCTCACATCAGTAGTTTTAAAACAATACTTAAAGCTAAACAACTAGAATTCACTACCTTGACAAAACATCCGAAACAATTGTCACTATCCGAAAATAAACTAGTTTTATTAAACTCTATAAATCACTCGCTTTTCCGTCAGATAATTGACCTACCTGCATTTTTTGACCCGTGCTATCCATTCCTTCAAATCTGAAGCGGACCAAAACAAATTTAACTTCTATATCCCTCGAGTTCTTCGGGTAACCTATATGCGTAACGGTAAATAAGTCTGCCGATGTACCCGGAAGTGGAAAATCGAAAATGAAAGTAAACGAGACTTACGGGCCCTATTTTCAGATATCTGCCATCACTGCAGTGATCTGCCATCACTGCCGCCGGTAATACGGTGTGAAAGTGAAAAAAAGATTGCCACTTTGTTATGTGAAAATGGACAGAAATGGTACCCTCATGAATTTTTTTACATGATTTTACGTGAGTTGACTTATCTAACTTGAATACAATTTGATTTTTTTTTTGGTATAAAAATGAAAAAAAAAAAGATTGCAACCTTGCTTCAAAGATAAAATACATACATCAATGAAAGTTAAAATAGATTACCCTCCGTAACCATAGGCCACCACTGTATACATACATTTTTACACAAAATAATACCAGAAAAACTTTATTGTTGACATAAATTAATTTAAATCATTTTGCCATTCATGACTGTCAGAAAATGAGGTTACACTAAAACTTGTTGAAAAAACAAGTTAATTGATAAAATTTTCGCGGGAAAATCGCTGGAAATTAATGGGTCTTTTCCCGATACTTTTAAATAAGTTATACCTGTGTTTTCTTTATAAGAATGATAATTATTCATTAATTTTACCTTTTCCTAAATTGTAATTTAATAGCCATATTTTTTAATCTTTGATGCAATCATGCACTGTTTATTTTTTCTTTTGTTTTTGTTCCTTTTTTCTCCTTTGTAATTGTCCGTACTATATTCCCTTTTAAACACCCAAATGGGTTTATTAATTGTTGCTCTCTTTAATCCAACTTTCAAAACAAACTCCAGGCTCCAGGACCTGTTGATTACACACTATACATGTATACAGCAGGTGACGTAGATTTTTCTACATACTACACTGCCATATATGGTAAGTACACACGACTGTGTGACAGGTGTAACATACATAATGATCTGTTATTATGCTGGCTAGTGAATGGAGTTAATTAACTGGGTTAATACAGTATGGTTTGTTGGTTAAGTGGCAAGGTAATCTAAATGTTCAAGTGTACCCCTATTTAACAAAAAACAAACAAACAAAAAAGAAAAGAAAAACAAACAAACAAACAAACAATAACAAAATAAAAGCTAAAGAATTCTGCTATTAGGGTCATTTAATTTCAAATAATTATATTCTAACCAGATTAATATTATTTGCAGGATAATTCCTTTCATTCAATAGTAATGAGAAAAATGGATTTGCTACACCCCTCCCTTCTTTGTGCATTTAGTATCTGACAAGTCAGAACCAGTAAATGAAATCTTAGGTGGTCATCAAAAAAGGTGGTAATCATTGATTTTACAAATAAAACACCTATACTTGCAGTGTAAATTGCATTTTCAAATAACACTGAAATACTGGTATTGAGACTAATTCTGTTCTATTTTCTCAAATCAAGTAATCATATTGTATATATTTTTCTCATACCACTTGTTTTATTAAAGGTATTGTCACCTTTTTCCAGACATTGTTAATGTCAGTAAATAAGGAACAAGTTCAATTATTTTGTTTAAAGATGAAACAGATGCAAAATAAACAACAACAAAAGTGTTACATTGAATGTCTGTTATCATTTGAAATATTAAACAAAGCAAAGAAAATATCAACAGAAATACATTTGCCTACATATTTTAATTTGTCTAAATACAATGCACAGTATAACATGGGAGGCTATATACTGTGTATTGCTATATATACTGTGTATTGCTATACTCAGTATGCTCCAATTTTGTAACAATTTCCAAAAAAAAAAAAAAAAAAAAAAAAAAATCCCCTACCTACCTACCCACCTCTTGAACATAGGGTCGGAGCACTACAAACAAACAATTTTTTAAGGATGGCCTCACAGTACCAAGTAAACATTTGAGGATTAATTTAATTAAAGTGGCAGATTTTGTAAACCTTAGAGAACTGTTCACTAATAAGGGTTTTTTGTGAAGGCAAACAGTACTAGCTCAAAAGATTAATAAGGGCTGCGAAAGGATGTTTCCCACCCTGTGTCACAATATGTGGTCATATAGTACAACTGGGACTTATAATATAGTGAAGTCAAAGACCAGGTCCAAGAAGCGGGCTCGGGCTATGGCTTGCCCGGCTATAGACTACCCATGTTTATTTAAAAGAAAATAAATAAAAAAAAAATAAAAAAATACATAGAATTCTATACCTATCAATGAAATTTTCAGTGTCAGTTCTAGTAGGGGTATTCCGATAACGGAACAAATCTAAACTTTTCGGATTATTTAAAGTCGAGTGTTCCGAGTGAAAATGGAAGCGGTGCATGAATTACTGAATGACACCTTACAAACGGAAAAATGAAAGGAATTTGTTTACAACTTCCCCTTTTATAGACTTTGCCTAATTTCATATATATTATATATGTCACGGTTCAGAACTGTTCTCTATTTAGGGGAGAAGATGTGTAAACAGCCTGAACGCTCAGTCTGTAGAGCCTCCCTAGAGGGAGGATACGGTGTTCTGAGGGTCCCGGGTTCGAGTCCCAGTCAGGCTGCACATTTTTCTCACCCTGTGACATATAAATATGATATTTTTAGTCCCAGAGTACAGAAGTCTTACAATATCTGATATCAGCTTGTCAAGAAGTCTTTCGGTAGGAACTTCTCTATTTGTTTTTTCTACAAATATATCTTCTAGTTTGGTCAACTTTTGCCTTTTGTTGTTCTGTCTTTTATTTTCACTGTTGATATTCTGTGTTGAATTATTCTCTACTGATTTGTCATGTTCAAACAGCTTGCCATTATTACTATGTAATAGTTTTCCAGCAATTTGAAAAGGATAATATAGACTGCTTGTCCCTGCTCCATGCAAATCATTCTTGATCAATTTTTTGCATGATTCTGTTTCTAAGTTTTGACTTTTCTTATCATGGAAGGCTGTGTTATGGACACTGGGCCTGACAGACCCATTCCCATCGTTTTGTGTAGGAATATCTTTATGTTTTAATTCTTTTTCCCATTGTCTTCTAAATGTATCTAATTGTTCATCAGTGCTCATGTTTTAAGTTGGCTGAAATCATGCAGAAAACGTCTAAAATTTAACGTTTTAACCATGTTTATTTATTTTGATTAAAGTGAAAATCTGTATACAACAAGCGCTTGCAAGTTCTCTTTTTCTTATAAGCGCCTACTTACGAGGATGGGACGAAGTTTGACTGTGCCTACGTCTTTCCTTTCAAACGATGATTGTGTAAGATAAACGATTGTGAACCATACTGACCAAAGGTCGAATGCAGACAGCAACTTAAATGCTTTTGAGGAAAAAAATCTAATAAAAAATGGGAGTATTATCAAGCATATCAAACTATTTTATTTCAAATCCGTGGATTATTATTGTCCTTCTTCTTTTGTATTGCTTCATTTATGCGTTGTCAGTTTTATTTTCGGGTCCAAAACCCGGGAGAAATCCATTCTCGGTTGCCCATGTCAGACCACCAAAACCACTGGTCACAGATCATAAATTGAGGAAAAAGGTACTGAAACAAAGTAAGTAGATCTGCTTTTCTTTAATGTTGTATAAAATATTGAATGAAAAAAATTGTTAAATGGCAATCTCTTGGATTATTAAACCAGGAGTATATATCCTTTCGACTAGTCCAACTAGAATCTAATTAGACTTGTCAAAGAGACACCGAGATAATTTTGGACGGGCGCTGTCTTTTTTCCAACTTTGTGACAGTAAGAAAAAAAACTCTGTAAAATGGGTCAAACCGTTCACGCCGAATTAATTAGGTTACCTTTCGACAGCCATCCGCTTTACCCGTAGGACGGCCAAAGTGTAAGAAAACGTATCGAATTTTTACATTTCTGAAAGCCAGTCTTATTTTACGACAGACGTCCATAGCGTAGTTAAACGTATCAAAAATATACCTTTCTAGAAACCGTAGCGTAAATCAGCGTAAAACTTGAATTTTGTGTCATGCAAACCCTTAACCCATTACTTCATATACACGCCTTTTAACGCCTTTTTCACCCCCCCCCCCCTTTTTGTTGTCTCAAATGATGAAAAAATGCCTTACTTAGGCCCCAAACACTTGTTTTTGTTTGAGAAATGTTGTTAAAAAAAGTGACCTCTTTTTCGGCGCGGCCCCCCAAGCAAAAGATACATCAGGGGGTTGCCAGAAGGGGGATGTGCCCCCTTCTGTTTGGGGGGTTTCAAGGGGGCGGTGGTCCCCCTCATCGCCAAGAAAATTTTGGACTTGTGAGAGGCTAAATGACCCCAGAACGATCATAAGGTAACGTGTAACAACGCTGAAAAGCATTTGACTCTATCTCAATCCATTGAGAAGTTGCAGCACTTTGAAATTAATTTTATGGAAAAGAATCAACGCAAAATAGTGATGTTTGGCAATTTTGAGTATACCCCTCGTTGCCATGGTCACAGAAAATTTAAGCCTGAGCGTGTTCTTGCAAAGGCATGGTTCAGTCAACATTTGTGCCAAGTTTGATTAGTATTGAAGCCGTTTTCATAGTTTTATAGCAATTTGAACTTGTAACGGGAGACTTTTCAATGAAAACAGCCATTTTTCACAAATTGCTCATGAAGCAATGGGTTAATGAAAAAAATAAAAAAATCTACAAAACAACAAATTTTCTTCAAATTTATATGACAGGCCATGTTTGAACATGAAAAAAACGCGATTTAGGGTAATTTCAAGTATTTTCATCATTTTCTGTTAACCCATTATTCATATACACGCCTTTTAACGCCTTTTTCACCCCCCCCCCCCTTTTTGTTGTCTCAAATGATGAAAAATGCCTTACTTAGGCCCCAAACACTTGTTTTTGTTTGAGAAATGTTGTTAAAAAAAGTGACCTCTTTTTCGGCGCGGCCCCCCAAGCAAAAGATACATCAGGGGTTGCCAGAAGGGGGATGTGCCCCTTCTGTTTGGGGGGTTTGAAGGGGGGCGGAGTCCCCCTCATCGCCAAGAAAATTTTGGACTTGTGAGAGGCTGTAAATGACCCCAGATTGATCATAAGGTAACGTGTAACCAACGCTGAAAAGCATTTGACTCTATCTCAATCCATTGAGAAGTTGCAGCACTTTGAAATCAATTTTGATGGAAAAAATCAACGCAAAATAGTGATTTTTGGCAATTTTGAGATGTCCCCTCGTTGCCATGGTAACAGAAAATTTAAGCCTGAGCATGTTGTTGCAAGGGCAATGGTCCAGTCAACATTTGTGCCAAGTTTGATTAGTGTTGAAGCAGTTTTTATAGTATTATAGCAATTTGAACTTGTAACGGGAGACTTTTCAATGAAAACAGCCATTTTTCACAAAATGCTCATGAAGCAATGGGTTAAAAAACCTCGTTTTCGTACATTCTGGTTTTTTAATGTGTTTATGAAAAATCAAAATATTACGCTATGGCTGTTCAAGTGCATACGATAAACAACAAAGCCATACCGTATAACACTGTTTATATTACGTTCAACTGCAATAAACAGACTCACAATCCTTGTTTTTGTAAAACAAGTCCTGAACGTTTTAAAACGGTAAATTTTACGTTATTTACCGATATAGCCCATTAGAATACCCTGTTGAGTAAAACGTCCACAACGTTTTAAAACGTAATTATTGAAAATCAATGAAAATCAATTTTTCTCAGGAAGGGTGGTTGATACTATAATGCTTTTCAACGTGAATATTGTAAGTTCAACTCATTTTTGTTTCAAATAAGAGAACTGCTTACAGAAACTCTGTTTGATGTATCAATAAATGCATTTTAAAATACTATACCATTTAGAAGATTTTCTTCAATTAATTTGGATATTGATTTGATTACCACATTAATTAAAAAGTGTACTGTACATCTAAACATTTACAGTGAGTGAGTATATCTGTCAATAAAGGGCACTATACAATTAACATATTTGGTGTTTTTATTTGAACAACATTTAAAAGAATGAAATAAATGAAAGGTAAACTTCAAGAATTTAGTCATTTGAAACTAAATTTTGGTGGCCTTCCTACGACAAACAGTAGTGGCTTTCAGGAAGCCAAAATTTTATACCGGGTTATTACGTTATAGCCTTCTTATGACTATAGCGCCCGGCTTTTGAGAAGTCGATTTTTCGGTACGTTTTATTACGCTCGTATTGGCCGTCGAAAGGATATAAGGTTCTGTTCATTCCATTTTGTTCACAGGAAAATCTGTCATTATTTTATTTAGTGGGAAAGGAAAAAAAATGACAGAATCCCCTGTGGTTTTGTTTAGTGTAAATTATATATGACAATCACGTCATTGGCTAAACTAAAAGTAGAATTTAGAGATACTTGGAGAGGTTTGAGATATATAAGGTTCTTTATTTTAAGGACATGTCAGTTTTATAAAGGAGGGTTGTGCGTTTCCAAGATGAAAAAAGAGCTGTTTTATTTGTTGAATTTCAGCCAAAATTTACAGGAATGTCAAATATTATGATCAAAGTGTACATATGTGAAGAATGTTTATAAAATTAAATTTACATTTACACTAAAAGACCTTTTGAATGTTTTAAGAGGTTTATATCTGATACTATATACAAGTTTTACTCCTGAAAAATACATAGGGTCTAACCTATAGGATTTAACCAGAACTATTGGGAGTATTGCATATACTGCTTGCCTTTTAAGTTTTACATTAGTTTGAGGGCTTGCCCAACAAATTGTGTGCCAGGGCTTTTTATTAAATATATGACTGTTGCCCTTCCCAAAGACTGACATCTATGTAATATCAGGTCGTAAACTTAGTAAATCTAAAGCAGTTGAAATATTTAGGCCTAATAATTTATGGCCTGAGCTAATATGAAATTAGGCAAAGCCTATGAACGGGGAAGTCGGTAAAAAATCCTTTCATTTTTCCATTAAAGGTTTCTTTCGGTATTATATGTACCCGCTTCCGTTTTCACTCGGAACACTGAACGATTATTATTAATCCGAAAAATTGAGATTTATTCCGTTATCGGAATACACCGCCTTTTATCATTGAGTTACATTGTAAATGGTGGCGCCTAACTAGAACTGACACTGAAAATTTCATTGATATTTATAGAATTCTTTATATTTTTTAATTGTTTTTTAGCTCACCTGTCACAAAGTGACAGGGTGAGCTTTTGTGATCGCTTTTCGTCCGGCGTCCGTCCGTCCATCGTTCGTCCGTCCGTCGTCCGTCCGTCCGTAAACTTTTACTTTAAATGACATCTCCTCATAAACCACTAAGCCAATTTCATCCAAACTTCACAGGAATGTTCCTTTGGTGGTCACCTTTAAAAATTGTTCAAAGAATTTAATTCCATGCAAAACTCTGGTTGCCATGGCAACCGAAAGAAAAAACTTTAAATATCTTCTTTTAAAAAACCATAAGAGCTAGAGCTTAGATATTTGGCATGAAACATCTTCTAGTGAGTGTCTACCAAGTTTGTTCAAATAAAAGCCCTGGGGTCAAAATTGGCCCCGCCCCGGGGGGTCATTGATTTTCCCTATATGCATATAGTAAAAACTTAAAAAATCTTCTTTTAAAGAACCCAAAGAGCTAGAGCTAAGATATTTAGCATGAAACATGTTCTAATGGGTGTCTACCAAGTTTGTTCAAATAAAAGCCCTGGGGTGAAAATTGGCCCCGCCCGGGGGTCATTGATTTCCCTATATGCATATAGTAAAAACTTAAAAAATCTTCTTTTAAAGAACTCAAAGAGCTAGAGCTTAGATATTTGGCATGAAACATCTTCTAATGAGCGTCTACCAAGTTTGTTCAAATAAAAGCCCTGGGGTCAAAATTGGCCCGGCCCCGGGGGGTCATTGATTTTCCCTATATGCATATAGTAAAAACTTAAAAAATCTTCTTTTAAAGAACCCAAAGAGCTAGAGCTAAGATATTTAGCATGAAACATGTTCTAATGGGTGTCTACCAAGTTTGTTCAAATAAAAGCCCTGGGGTGAAAATTGGCCCGCCCTGGGGGTCATTTGATTTTCCCTATATGCATATAGTAAAAACTTAAAAAATCTCTTATAAAGAACCCAAAGAGCTAGAGCTAAGATATTTAGCATGAAACATGTTCTAATGGGTGTCTACCAAGTTTGTTCAAATAAAAGCCCTGGGGTGAAAATTGGCCCGCCCTGGGGGTCATTGATTTTCCCTATATGCATATAGTAAAAACTTAAAAAATCTTCTTTTAAAGAACTCAAAGAGCTATGGCTAAGATATTGAGCATCAAACATGTTCTAATAGGTGTCTACCAAGTTTGTTCAGATACAAGCCCAGGGGTCAAAATTGGCCCCGCCCCGGGGGTCATTGATTTTCTTTATATGTGTTTAGCAAAAACTTTAAATCTTCTTTGAAAAAACCCAAATAGCTAGAGTTTAGATATTAAGCATGAAACATCTTCTAGTAAGTGTCTACAAAGTTTGTTCAATAAAAAGCCCTGGCGTCAAAACTGGCCGGCCCCAGGGTGTCATTGTTTTTAACTATATGTGTATAGTAAAAACTTTAAAAAAATCTTTTAAAAAGCCCAATGAACTAGAGCTTAAATGTTTAGCATGAAACATCTTCTTATGGGTGTCTATCGAGTTTGTGCAAATAAAGCCTTACGTTAAATTGGCTCTGCAACGTTGGGGTTGGGGGGGGGGTTGGGGGGGGGCCCTATATACAGGTGAGCGACCTCAGGGCCATCATGGCCCTCTTGTTTTTTATTGATTTTCTTTTAACTATACACCTGTAGTCTATGGCCTGGGAAGCCAAAGCCCTGCGGGCCCGGACTTTGACTTCCCCGTATTAAAACAATTTGACTTATATAGCTTGACCGAAATAATATTTCGTTCTGATGCTCAGATAGGATTTTGTTAATGACTGGGTAAAATGGATAACTGTTGGAACCTTTTGGACAAGCTGGAACATCATGGAATATCTGTCTTTAACTCTTACAATTGGAATAATTTGTCATAAATTTGCATGTAAGTTGTATGTTAAACCAGAGTATCCTGATTTCCTTTACTGCCTTCATCGTAAAAATTATGCACATGTACATGTCATTCAATTGTAAGCAACAGGAAATAGAAATATATTACAGATAAACAAAAAAAGCTAAAGTTTCTGTCTTCTCTATAACATAAATAATTGAAAGAGCATCAAAACACAAGGCTATCTGATTTGTACGAGGGGACATAGCCCTCGAGTATATATCAGATTGTCGAGTGTTTTGATGTTTTTTCTCTTTTGTATCATAGTCAAACATAACGACACGTTCCCTGATGTTACAATATGAAACCCCAGAAAAAAGTAACCAATCAACGAGCATCTGAATATGATATTTCTTTCGCTTTCCCTTTCTCTCACAATAAGTAAACCCCAGCAAAACTGAGCCAATCAATGGGCATTCTCTGGAGTGTGGGTAACTAATATCTGAACTCCAGTTAACGCACTGTGCATGTATATTTATACGATTTAAGTCTGACACATTTTCAACAGAAAGGTCCCCAAACTATGATACATGAGTACATGATTCACAGTAAAAAGTCTGCATATCAAGTAAGTGATAATGATTAAAGTAAAACATTAAAAATAAGTTACAAAATAATCAAATAATAAAGTGTACTTAATAACTCAGGCTCTACTAAATCTAATTTTAAACATACATGTGACTTTTCTATTATATGTGATAATTTAATCAGAAATCTGATAAACTTTAATATAACATTGGTAAAGTACAGTTTATATATGTCAATCAACACTTGTTTACCTCATTGAACTGCTGACTATTTAATTTTGTATCTGACTTAAAGTTATTAGTCCCCTACCGGTTTACCGGAGGGGACTTTAGGTTTACCCTCCGTCCGTCTGTCCGTCCGTCTGTCCGTCCGTCTGTCTGTCAGTCCGAGCAGACGAAAGCTACATTATGAGGTTTAGGTTTATGTACAGGCACTCTGTATGGGGTTCATTCCGTAGAGACATGTATTATGTGGTTAAAAATGCTCTTATGGGGTTAAAAAAATTTGCTCTTGTGGGGTTAAGAGATCAAAGGAATAACCCCACAAACACATCTGCTAAGTACGTCCGTCAGTCCGTCCGTCCACAAAACTGGATCCCGCGATAACTTGAAAAGTACTGAAAATATTTTTATGAAACTTGATATATGGATAGATGGCAGTATGGAGATTATGCACGTCTTTTTCTTTTCTTCCTATGTTGAAAATTTTGGTTGCTATGGCAACAAATAGGCTGAAAATATGGCAAATTTTACACATAAACTGGATCCAGTGACAACGCAAAAAGTACTGGAAATATTTTTATGAAACTTAAAATATGGGTAGATGGTAGTCTGGAGATTATGCACGTCTTTTTCTTTTCTTCCTATATTGAAAATTCTGGTTGCTATGGCAACAAATAGACTGAAAATATTGCAATTTTTACACATAAACTGGATCCAGTGTTAACGCAAAAAGTAATAGAAGTATTTTTATGAAACTTGTAATATGTGTAGATGGCAGTCTGGAGATTATGCACATCTTTTTCTTTGTAAATTCTGGTTGCTATGGCAACACATAGACTGAAAATATGGCAAATTTTACACATAAACTGAATCCAGTGATAACTTAAAAAGTACTGGAAATATTTTTATGAAACTTGACATATGGGTAGATGGCAGTCTTGTGATTATGCATGTCTTATCTGTTCTTCTTATTTTGAAAAAATATTGGTTGCCTTGGCAACAAATAGGCTTAAAACATGGCAAATATAACAATATTCGTGATGAGTCAAAAAGAGCTGAAAATTTTTATGAAATTGCATCTTTAATTCCAGAGTTATCTCCTCTTTAAGAATTTTGCTTTTTAAATTGTTATATTTTGGTAACGGATGTTTCAAATATTAAATTTAGAGTGTCCTTCAGTCCGTCTGTCTTTTTAACAAAACTGTTTCCTGTGATCACTTTTAAAGAAATTTTCCAACAAATTTACTGTAAAAACATTAATTAGTGAATGGCCAATGGCCCTTCAGAATGTTGATGGGGTTCCATCCGGTACTGGGGACTTATGGATTGCTTACAATACTATGATAATTGCTTGTTTTCTCATAGAATGATACTAATAGTTTAAGAAATTTTTATTTACACAATTTGATATGAAAAATAATTCATTTTATTTAATATATAATTAAAATATATATTACATATTTAATTTTGCATTTATATGTACAATATAAGTTTCATTAATTAACACAAAGAAATGTACATGCATGTCAGGTCTACAATCACAGTTATATAATTGCTTTGTAATTGGTGTTGGCTCTGCTAAAAGTTCTAAATTAGATGTAGATTCTCAGTTCTCAAATCCGGATAAACTCATATTTGGAGAATAACATGTAAACCTTCCTTAAAAGTATCTAATGAAGGAAAAGCACTCCCAGCCACAAATACAGTACATTTTAGGTACAATAGAAGTACCTATAAAGCCCCACAATGTAGTATCAATATGGCATCACTTAAGTACCTGCTTCTAGTGTACTTTATTTTATGGAGCAAAATTTAACATTCACTCGAACTGGGGGAAGTACACTTAAAGCTCCGTCTAAAATATTTAAATTATGCTTCAAAGATACTTCTTTTAAGAAAGCATATATAAAGCATCACTCAGGTAGTACCTACAAGCTCAGCATGGTAGGCTCAGGGAAGTACATTTTAAGTATCAATTTAGGAAGTACCTTTAAAGCTTTACCAGAAGTACAATAGAAGCATCACTTGGAGCCCTTTTAAACATCAGCTTGAAATTAATAATGAAGTACATTTGAAGCACAACATAAAGAAGTACATTTAAAGCATGATCATTTATTGAAGTATATTTAAAGCATCAAACACTATATATCTTAAGAAGTACAATTTAAGCATCAAGTTGAAGTTCATTTAAAGCGTCACTGAAGAAGCACATTGAAAGCATCATTGAAGAAGTACATTTAAAGCATCATAAATTACATATATAAAGTTTTAAATGGTTAAAGGGTATAAATCTATATCTAATGAAATATTTTAATAAACTCTATCAACCGTAAAATAATATTGTTTCCATTTTTTATGTGATTGATTGTACTGTTAAAATAACCCTTAATTTACTGAAACAGAAGGGTCCCCTTGCCCTCAGAATGTAAATGTTATGACAAATCATGACCTGCACAGGCATGTAATTTACTTGTACATAATGTAAAGAAAAATGCAGATTTAAAACTTCCCCTTTAATAACACTCAGTGAAAAAGATTTAAATTAGGACATCTGTAAAATTTATGAAGAGAAACAAAAACTAAAATTATAAGTGTTAATTTAAGTCTAAATAGCTTACCATTATTCCATTGAACAATAGTAAATTTCCATTAATCCATCTGATTGAAGAACTCATTTAATGCCCCATTATAATTTCATTAAAGTTCACATTATAAAGTTGTTTCATCTAAATGACACTTTAGGCACATGTTTAACTTTAGTCCTAAGCATCTTTATAAATTATAAGCACTGAGGTCCAAAGAAACTTCCTGAGAAATATTTGAATTTTCTGAGAGCCAGATTTGTTCAGGATATTAGATTACATGTTGTAAACCCCACTTATCTAACACTTTCTTTTATATATGATAGGCGAGTTTAACACAGGCTATTATGAAAACAGCAAGGAGAAACTCTTGACCCCTCACTGACCAATTACACATGGTTTATATTATGTTACAATCACTTGTGTTTGTGAGTTAAATTTTACTCAAGACTCAAAAGTACATATGAAGTCCCTAGAAATATGCTTTATATTTTCTAATAAGTGTTTAAAGCATCATTGAAGCCCCATTACTGTTCTTATCTATTTATTAATGTTTACAAAGTATCAACAAAGTCCCTGGCACTTCCAGCAGAAGTTCCTTGGGCTTTTACTGAAGCAGGTATGTGTTAGGAAGAGTATACTTGAAGTCCCAGGGGCTTCATTTGAAGTATGGTTGTTAAGTATCATTGAAGTCTGTGGGACTTCAGGTGAAGCAGGTCTTATTATCTGTAAGTATATCTGAAGTACATTTCAGGTATACTTAAAGCTGGGGGACTTACCTGAAGCATGTGCTTCATTTGTGGCTGGGCTGTTGGAGCTTTAACTCAAAATCCATTATTTTACCTTCTTTTTGTTTTTGAATTATCTTCCGTTTTTGGAACTGCACATTATCAACTTTGTAAAAAACATATAATGGAAATTTGAAGTTGGTAGCCAACTGTATAGAGCCTCAGGTCATACAGCACAGATGAGCAGGCTCAGAGCCTGGCTTTAATAGTATTCTACTTTGAATTGAATGGCTGTTAGGGCTTAGAACGAGTATTGTATCTAAATGTCTTGAATTTATTCCAGAATTCAAGTCTCAAACCATTCCAGAGAATATAGACACTATTGTGATAGGAAGTGGTATAGGAGGGTTGTCTACAGCTGTGCTTCTTGGGCGTGCCGGCTACAAGGTTCTAGTGTTAGAGCAACATGACCGTGCTGGGGGCTGTTGTCACACATTTAAAGATAAAGGATTTGAGTTTGACACAGGTATTGCATTAAGCTTTTTTGAAGTTTTTTTCAATTTTCATAAACAGATTAGATCACTTATAAAGTCTCACTTGCTATGACAAAGTGTAAATGAAATGAACTTGTTCTCAATACCGACAGTAAAAGATAATATTTCAAGATGATGAATGAATCAGACAAACATTGTAATGAATGGAATTTCTATGTATTAGTCATTATAAATTAATGTTACTGGAAGATTGATTTCTTTATAAAGTTTGTTAAATATTTCAAGATTTACAAGGACATATTTTCCTGATTTTCTTATAAAGATTCTCTAACAGAAATGAGTTTAAGGATGAAGTAGAGTGACTTTATTGTTTAAATTGAGTACTGTTTTGTTTTTGTGAGGTATCCATTATGTGGGAAAGATGATGGAAGGTGATAAGACACGTGTATTGATAGATCAGATTACAGAAGGACAAGTTGTTTGGGAACCCATGGACCAGGAATTTGATGCAGTATGTAATATCTTAGATGATTATGATGCTATTATAAGTTCCACAAGAATTAGTATCATTAATTCTAAATTTGTCAAACCTTCAATACAGTATTTGCAAATCAAGTCTTGTTGAAGCCTAGTTGAAAATACATTTGTATTTAAAAATAAACCACAGATTTGAAGCTATTTTTTACATTGGTCAAAATGCAAAGTCTTTCAAAGAAGAAGTAGTTGAAGCCATTCTTGAACACACTGCCCACAACAAATTTGACTATGCGAATCTATTTAAGTCGGCAGTCCAATTTCTTAGAATATACGAAACCTTTTTGTTGTTTGTACACTTTTGTACAGTGTTCATATATGTATAGCTTAACTATTACTAAGTGATCAATTTTTCACATTGAAAATAATCAATATTTTGTATAAATACCAGCAAATATCATTATTATTCACAAAGTAATTCATCTAATTAAGAAGTGAAATGCAAAACAGGTCTAGTTAAAGTAACACTTTCTGAATTCTAAATGTCATTCCCTATTTACTGCTGATTGTACATGAATCTACTAAAATATTTTCTGACACAATAAAAAAACTGCCTTATTGCTGAAATATGCTGAAGACTGGCTTGAGCCTAAAACAAACAAAATGCTATAGTCTAAATATAGCCTGTAGTATTTTTTTTATTACATAGCAGATTGCCATTGGTAACCAACAGAAAGGTAAGTGGTATACACTGTTTTTGTGTCGCCTTGAAAAGGTGACATATAGGGGTTACTTTTGTCGGCGGCGTCGGCGGCGTCTGTGTCGGCGTCGTTGTCGGCGTCGTCGTCGGCGTCCCCTAAAGCTTGTCCGGAGCATAACTCAGCCACTATAAGTCTGATTGACTTCAAACTTGGTATGCATGCTTCTTTCAATAACCCGAAGTGCAGTGCACAAGGACTGGTGCTCTGCAGTTCTTATTTTTTGAGTTATTGCCCTTTGTTAATTTTCATACTTTAATTTTGTCCGGGCCATTTCTCTAAAACTAAAAAAGCTATGGACTTGAAACTTCATAGGATGATAGATCTCATTAAGAAGAAGTGCAGTGCACAAGAACCGGTACTCTGCACTTCCTAATTTTTGAGTTATTGCCCTTTGTTAATTTTCATACTTTATTTTTGTCCGGGCCATTTCTCCTAATGTATAAAAGCCATGGACTTGAAACTTCATAGGATGATAGATCTCATTAAGAAGAAGTGCAGTGCACAAGAATCGGTACTCTGCATTTCTTAATTTTTGAGTTATGGCCCTTTGTTGATTTTCATACTTAATTTTTGTCCAGGCCATTTCTCGGAAAGTATAAAAGTTATGGACTTGAAACTTCATAGGATGATAGATCTCATTAAAAAAAAGTGCAGTGCATAAGAACTGATACTCTGCATTTCTTATTTTTTGAGTTATTGCCCTTTGTTGATTTTCTTACTTTATTTTTGTCCTGGTCATTTCTCCTCAAGTATGAAAGCTATGGACTTGAAACATCATAGAATGATAGATCTTATTGATAAGAAATGCAGTGCACAGATATGCTGCTCTGCACTTATTATTTTTTTAGTTATTGCCCTTTGTTATTTTTCATATTTCATTTTTGTCCTGGCCATTTCTCCTAAACTACATTGTTCACAAGGCGACACATCCGACTCGCGGAGTTCTAGTTACCTAAAGCAAACAAACTAGAGCCTTAATATTGCCTGTAGAAAGGGTTTATTAAATAGTTGATCATCTGATATTGTACATTGTTGTAGGTTGCCATTGGTAGCCCAGAGAAAGCTAAGTGGTATACAATGGCATCTGGTTCCAAGGAAATATTTGCTTCACATCTGGAGAAACAGTTCCCTACAGAAAAAGAGGCCATAGCTAAATTCATGCAACTGTTAAAGGTAAGACAATACTAGATGTATTTAAAGGCAGAATTTATTGTAGTTAGGGACGTCCATGGCAGAGTGGTTACAGTCTTTGACTTTAACCCATGTGTCTCTCACCGCTAAAGGTTCGGGCTGTGCAAGCATCGTCACATCCTAAATGTGAGAAAGCTATCCAGCCAGCTTATGCAATGTTGATGGTTATACTCAGGTACCTGTTTGTGCTTGAAATAATATACAAAGAAGGATATAAGGTCTTCTCCCAGATGTAAAGCTTCAAAATATAGCTACGAGGGTTGTCCAAAAAATTTGTGCTCTACAGTTATTTTCGTGAGAGTTTTTGATAAAAAAAACATGAATTATATATCACTTGAAGGGGAAACCGCTCCGGGGGCCTATATACAGGTGAGCGACCTCAGGGCCATCATGGCCCTCTTGTTTTTGTTCAACTTTTTGTAAAGAATAGTTTTACTTACATATTATTATTATTATCATCATATACATATTATCAATACAATGCTTAGATCCAAAAATCATCAAATAAATTAATCATCATAATAAATAAAAATAAAATTCTTACATAAATGAACCCAAAAAGTATGTGACAGATGATAATGGAATATTTTAACTCATATTGAAAATCAATTTTAGAAATTTAGATTAGTTCAGTCAGAATTTATTGGTGATGATTTAATGGTATTTTAGGATTCAGATGCTGCCTACCTAGGTGTGATGATTCCCAAGATGATCCCCCGCTGGCTAGCCCAGATAGTTATAAAGACAGGAATATATGACCTGGTGATGAGGAAATATTTGACATTATGTCGGAAATCAGTAAAAAATGTCCTGGACGAGCTTACAGATAATGCAGAGTTCAAGGCCGTGTTAGCTTACATATTTGGTGATCTTGGTAAGTGTATAACTTAGCTGCACACATTTTAGAAAAATCTTAGTACATTTTTCTCATGTTAACTTTAATTTTTCTTGATATATTTTGGCTCATGTTGAGGCATGCAGCCTTATAAAAATTGAAAGTTTAATTAAAATGGCAGCATGGTTAACATGTCAGACTTGTAATCTAAAGATTGCTGACCTCATGTGTTCATACCCTTCAGGAGCACACCTTTTTTTCCATGAGTAAAAAACTTTATTAACACTTGTTTCTTAGTGGTTCCAGGAACTGATTCGAGAGAAGCTTATATCTTCCAACACAATCAAACTGAAATAAAAAGTTCTGTATAAACTATCAGAGATAGAGTTAATAATTGCAATGCTTTATTTAAAGGAGTTGTGCCAAGCGGATTAAGTATGGTGAACTATGCATCTCTTATCAACCATTATATACCGGGAGCTTTCTATCCATATGGTGGACCGGGTGAGATTGCCTTTCAGATTATACCCATCATTGAGAGATACGGTGGACGTGTAATTACAGACGCCCCTGTCACAGATATTCTCATTAATGATAAAGGCCGTGCTCATGGTACGTATATAGCTTTCTTTAAATGACTGATTTTAGAATTGTCTAGTATGAACATTAAAATCATAAGATTTGTTGTTATTTGACTAGGCAGGTTTTACCAGGTTTAAAGTCTTACGATAATAACTTTTTCTTCTATTGTCATTTCCTTCTGTTAAACAAATAATTATTTTTAATAATGGAGGTGCATTTGTGTTCTGCACAAGTTTTCTAGTGCTGTGTAACAGTTTCGAGGTTTAAAAGTACAAAAATGTATAAATGAAAATTAAGTGAATGTAACATTTTTCTCTTCACATTAAAAGCTGGATATTGATTGAATTACCTACCATAGATCATGGTACATAAGAATAAATAATTCACATAAGAATTAAATAAGTTTAAGAGTGTCCTTAATATATATATATATTTATATATTATTTTTAGAGATTCCTTGATATATATAAATTTTTTTTAGAGTTTCCTTGATTTATATACCTTTTTAGCAGGTCCAAAGTATATGATATAATGGTGATGAAATGCAAGTGAAGGCTGCTAATGATGTTTATTTAAACATGTTTACTTCTGATTAACCTTTTTTATCAAAAAATGTTTGAATCATTAAGCCTTGTTTAATGATCAATTGAAAACAAAGTGTCTGAAGAAAAAAACATAACAAATTTATTGTCACATAATAATAATATCTTCAATGTTTCTGAATTTTTTAATGTATGTGTATTTTCATTTTGTTATATCTAGGTGTGCGTGTTTCCAAGAACGGCACCAGCGTCGACTTGTTTGCTAAAAAGATCATATCAGATGCTGGTGTAATAAACACATTCAAACATTTACTACCAAAAGAAGTAGCGGTCAAAGCTCGTAAGTGTAGTTGAAAACCAACATTGTGTTTCACCTCAACTTTGTCATTAAAGGCCCATTTAGCCAAAAAAATGCTAGTTTTTGTATTCTTAAAAGAACTTTTATTTTTTGGGGTCTTGGCACAGTTTCCAAAAAGTTTTCCAAAAATTTGAGTCTTCTTCTGTTCTAGCAATAATACATTATAGTACATTATAGTGATGTAGTATTTTGTATTCAAGTCAAAATATTTACATCTTCTTGCTACTTATATATCAAATACTTAAACATTCAGTGCTATCTTCATTAGGAGATAATTATCTCCATATATCTTTTTCAGCATTATACAAATATATCCAGGAAGTTGGACCGAGTATATCGTATGTTTCTGTGTTTATTGGAATGAATGGATCTTCTCAAGAGCTTGGACTGAAGAAAAGTAACACATGGGCATTTTTAAAGTTAGTATATATTAAAATATAGTATAACCTTAGAAAGAGCAACACCCTTTCAGTGTCTATTCTAGGAGTCAAAAAAGGAGGGTTATTTTTTTATCGAAAAGTGAGAATTTATTACATTTGTTAATCTTTTTTGTAAAAATTTTCCTCTGAAAAATTAGGGGGGAATTCTCAAAAATATGAGTGAATCCCCCAATCCCCCCTCCTAGAATAGATACTGCCTTTGGGAGACATATATTTTGGTTGTTGCCTAGAGGTGTTGCTGTACAGAGTTAAAATTTAGTGAATATATACAGTATAGTCTTTACTTTGGTAAGAAATAATGTTGTTGTAAAGAGATTTTTGTCCTGTAAAGGTTTGCTCTGCCGAGGCTTTACTATACTAGTTTAGACAAGCTTGATTTCTTCTGCATTTCTCCAAGATAAAATGTTGTATTCTGACATATTCAACTTTAATCACTCATCTGTTCTACTTTTGCGACTATGTAAAAATATTGCACAGCTGTGCATATATTTTGACGGAATGTTATTTGCTTTATTCAAATATAGTGTAAAATGCACAAAATGTATGAAAAAGATTTTTTTTCACTGTAAACAGTCTATATTTTGGGTGTGTAATAAATAGAATATTATATTCGCGTAGGTTTATTACTGAATTTATTGAACTAGTTTAATAAAAACATATGCTCACCAGAGGCTTGTTCAATATAATCAGTTTTGAACTTCAACTCTCATTTAATATCCTCTACAAATGCTCTATGTACACTATTAATATGCCATTGGAATCAGTCAATTTTACAAGTAATTGGTAGCCTCATTCTAATATATTGATATCAAACACTGACTTCCTTTCTTTACAAAACTAATAAATAAAAAGTGACTTCCTTTCTGTACAAAACTTATAAATCAAAAGCTATAATTTTTTTGTTGTGATTTTCTTTGATGTTATCTAGTTTTCATTGTTATTCCATTAGTTTACATCATTATTTCAAGTGGTTTTAAGGTTTTGTTTTTCATTGTAATTTCAGTATAGACTATGAGAAAGATATGGAAGAATTCAAGTCAAAGAGTCTGGAGGAGGCTGTAGAAACAGAATGTCCTCTTATGTTTATATCCTCGTCCTCGGCTAAAGATTCCTCATTTGAGGAGAGATATCCAGGTACTATTATTATAAAATAACAATTTTATGTATGATTTATTAACACAAGGGTCACTGGTTTGACTTGTGGTGGAGGAGTAATTTTGTGAGACAGTTGAGTCCAATATTCAATGGTCTCTCACCGCTGATTAATAAATTACATCCATTCAAAATGCTGAACCACTATATTTTTACTTATTACCAAAATGCAACAGATGCAAAGATTGGTTCAGGAATTTACCAATGAGTAATAATATAACAAGATACAAAACATAAGAAGCTTTGAGAAATGAAAATAAAAGCATTTTCGGGGCATAATGGAGCTTTAACTAAACATGTTTATATGGATTCTGGATCATTCAAGTGACACTTGCAGCTGTAAGTGCTTCTAACACCCTAAATGCTCAAAATTTATAGATATGATATTGCTCTATTGTAGGAAAGTCTGTGATAATTGATAGATATAGTATAGAGGATATTTGTTTATTTCAGTGTAAGATCAGAATATATTTCACAGAGTGAGCACCAAAAGGTATATTTCACGAGTGGCGCAGCCACGAGTGTAATATGAACTTTTGGAGTGTTCACAAGGTGAAATATATTTCGATCTTACATTAAACTAAACAAATTTTCTTTTTATTATATGCAAAGAAACATTTAAAAAGACATATTTACCTAGTACTAAAATGAAAAGGGCGCCAAATAATAAAACAAGTAATTAAGTTGGTTTCCAGTACTGTGAACGCTTGTATTTCACTGAATCAAAGTAACGGGCTCAAATATTCAAAACAGTAAAATTATCAAATTGATAATTTCACTGTTTAAAAGAGTGAAATTATCAGTTTTATTTCACTGATATATTTCTATAAACCACCAAAAAGCATGTAATAAATTCCTATATTTTAGGAAAGTCTGTCATGTTAATAATCACACTGATGCCGTGGGAGTGGACACAGAAGTGGGAGGAATGTCGTGTGAAACATCGTGGCGATGAATATGAAAATCTCAAGATGAAATTTGGCCAACAGTTGTGGAGACAGGTGGAACAACTTTACCCAAGTGTTGAAGGAAAGGTAATGGCATTTACCAATTCTTTATATAGGACATAGTAGTTATATTAAAAGACCTATGCCAGTAGTTTTTGGGCTAAAAACTTCATTTCAGCTCATTTCTTTTGTCCTTCAATATCTACATACAGGTAAAGGAATTTCATCTTTAGTCTTTGCTATATTGTCAGATACAAAACATTCTATGCTTTCTTAACCCTTTCGCTGCCAGAGGGTTATTGTTTTATTGATCACCTATTTGCCAGAGGGTTTTCTAAGAAATTACTTTATTATTAATCAATATAATTATTATTATTTGTTATTAGTATTATAATAATTATATATGTTTCAAATCTGTGAGTATAATAATAATTATTGTCGATGGTATAATTTTCTTTATATTTATTATTATTTTTATTATTATTATTATTAATTTATTATTATTACTATTATTATAGAAACGGCTAAAGCTGTCCATATGGCAAATACGCTGAAAATAACAGGGACGACATAATCCGTCCCTATGGCAGTGAAAGGGTTAATAAGAGTAAAAGCTTATGAAACATTGATGATTCTAGTCAGGTGCCTACTCTTGCCTCATGTAATGCACAGAGGGGCACCTGAGGTCAACCTCCATCAGTAAAGTTGGAAAGTGGCTGTAGAACCTTATAGTGTTTGTGCTACTTAAAAGACAACCAAATTAAACAATCTGTATGTCTGTGCATTTTACTATTGTCATAGCACCTTCATTTATTGACTAAGATCTGAGACAATTGAAGTTACGGTGCCTTTCATGGACTATCATTCAGTTGTAGGGATAAAGGCCAAGGTCACCACAGCTTAAATGTACCAAAATATTCAATGAAGGCTATGTCACTAAGAAAAGAACTGTAGCTTTTCCTACTTTTACTCATAGAAGGGTCATGATTTTAGCCTTGAGAATGCATCTATGTATATACACTGGGCTTCCATAAGTGGAGTTTTGGAAGTTATTTACTCCTGATTTTGGCTTGTGACTTCCAAAATATAATGCTTTTCCTTCTATATCTATTTAATGTCACTTTCAGTGTCTAAACATTTTGCAGTTTTTGACTTTCATATTTGGGAACCTAATAGAAGCTCTGTATATAATTATTATATAACTTGTATTCATGTATTTTATAGTTAGACTATATAGATGTGGGTACACCTGTATCTAACAAGCACTACCTGGGACAACCCGAGGGAGAGATGTACGGTTTAGAGCATAACATCCGGAGGTATGAACCAGATATATCTATGCACCTGAGGGCTCACTCAGGTATTCCTGGCCTCTACCTAACTGGTGAGTTGATCACTTAAGCATTGTATTTTTGATTTTAAAAAATTACAGGATAAGAGATAAATTGTACAAACATTTTTTAATGAAAGGGTTTAATTTTTATAGAATTATAGACATATTGGCAAAACTATAACTTTTCAATAGAATTTCTTTAAACTTGGCATGTTGTTAGAATATGAGAACAGAAACATTTTAAGCAGACAAAATTATAGTTGCTATTCTCATTTTCAAGTTATCCTAGAAATAGTCCTTAACTTAAAATTTATAGATTGTGTTGGAAGATAACCTTTTTAGAAACACTGACAGGGTTTGAACCACCATGGCCATCAATCTTTAGATTACAAGTCTGTGCAGGATGGCTGACTGGTTAACTAACAGACTTAATTGATACCATGGTTGAAAACTGTAAAATTTATTTTCTTGACTTTGATATTGTAACTATTGATAAAGGCAATGAAATCGTAGATTCAGGAAGTTTTAAAAAATATGTGGATCAAAGATGAAAGGTTATTAATTTGCTATCTGAAAAATCTAAATTTCATCCACTAGTAAAACAGACAAAAAATCACCATAAGTGTCATGCAACAAATCCTGTCGTGAGACTTACACCATTTTATGACTTGATAATGTCATGTGAGCACTGTCATGTGACCTTTACCTTTGTTGAACACTCTTGACATGACTAATATAAAAACAAAAATTTGATAAATTCTTCCTCAGGTCAGGACTTGATATCAGCTGGGTTCAGTGGTGCCCTGCACGCTGGTCTAGTCGCAGCATCGGCAATCCTGCATAGGAACCTTCTCAATGACATTGGCGAGGTTACCAAGGAGACGAGAAAACTAATGAAAGCTAAGGTTGACAACGGAAAGAAATCGAATTAAATAAGGACATCAGAATGATATGACTTGTATAGTTAGCACAGGTTATGAATTATTTGTGATATAGCCATTACTGTGTAGATGTTGAATTGTGTAGATCGAGGATATCAATTCTGTTCAGGGGGTTGTAATGACTGTTGATTAGATATGCAAATTGTTCATCTGTCAATTTTTATCAATGTTACTTTACTGATAAATCATGACAATCATGATTATTGTTACTTTTGTTTTATTTAGATTGAATTTACTTCTGTTGTTATACTGTAATATGTGGTTTTGATAGATCATAAATGTGGTTTTAATACATGGAACATATGGTTTATGTTGTTTTGATAAACGGTGCTGTGGTTTAAAAAAAAACAGTGCTGTGGTTTCAATACATGGTGCTGTGATTTTGATAGATGGTAATGTTAGTATTTAAATGTCAGAAAGTAAGAAATTACTAGTTTATGTATAATTGCATGTATCAATGTAATTCAAATGAAGATATTACTAATAAAGGGAGGTAAAAAATACTCCTCAAATTGGGCATTATGACTTAATTATAGAAGTTGATAAAAGTTTTTTTAATCATTGAAAAGTAATCCTATATAAGTCTATGCTATTATAACAAAAAATAATCTGAAAAGCTTATATCTTATTTCCAATGAGTATGTGTAAGAATAGTTAATATAAAAGCATAACAAAAAACACTACCGGTGGCGAGGGTAAACAAACTAAACCCACACACTGTTTAATCTGGAGTGAAAACTACCACCACCATCACCAAGCATTGATTGCATGATTGAATATAGAAAGTTAATCAACCTGTAAGAAAACTGAATGTCCCTTACACATCTAGAAATTTTGAGAAGGGACAGAACAGAATGTAACATTCATAACCATAATTTTCTTCTTTTTTTTTAAGATAAAAAAAAGGTAATTTTGGAAAGAAAGATGTTTTTCTTAAAAAAATTAACTGTATTTGAATTATCATTTTCTTTTTACACATAAATTTATTTTCTGAAAGTGTTTTTTTGTGATTGAGAATATTTTTCTAAAATCACATGTTCCTGTCATAAAAAAATAAAATAAAATGAACACATTTGTTTAAAGCAGCATGCCTCCAGATTCATGCTAATTTTCATGATTTTTTTAAAAATTGAACAGTTCAATATTGTCAAGTGAACATTGAAAACGTCACTTAAAATCTATGAAAATTACCAAAAATAGGTCCAAATGTCCAATAACAGCCCTTACTTTATTATTAATGCGGTAGAAATATGCTTAATAATACTGCAAAATCAGTCATTGATTGCATATAACATGTAAATTGCTTCTTGAATTGTGAATATTTTAATTTTTCTTAAAATCTTAGTACTTTTTTCTTAATTTTAATTTTCATGAAATTCAAATATTTTGGAGGCATGCAGCTTTAAGGTTGATATAATTATTATTATTTATTTTTTTAATTTTTTTTAAAATGTTCTACATTCCAGTTTGTGATCACTTTGATACTCATTTAATATTAATTTGAGATATTTTGCATATTTGGTTAATATTTTAAATGTTTTGGGTCATTTTTTTTCTCTTGTAACCTTTCTCATATACATCAAGTAGCCTCGTGCCTGGACATACATATTTTGATACTTTTGAAATATTTATATACTATTTTTACTGTTTAAGTTCATTAAATCTGTCTGTTTTGATTGCATATTGTCTTGCTATTGCAATACTGTTGTTGTTTGTATAAATTTAAATTCATTGAACTGATTTACCATGATATACTATAGGTATTAATAGTTTGTTAAAATGTTGAATATGTATTATTTTACAATGAAATATATATATTGATAATTAAATTACATTGTTAAGTTATTTATTTCAAATATATGGGTAATATTAGAATATGATATTGTGGAGTAGAAATATTTTGTTCACATGTTGAGCTTTTGATTAAGTATTATACTGTATGTATATTTAAAGTAACTCCACAGTGGTCCAAAAACCTAAAAACATTAAATTTGAATACTTATATATAAGCTGGGGCACTTAAAGAAATAGATATGCATGATATAATCAAATAAAATATACTGTGAAATGAATTGAAATCATAACTTTGTGCTAAATTGAATTATGTACATGTATTTTGACAATATTACCAATAAAGGGAGGTAATAAATACTACTAAAATGCGACATTATGACTTAATTATAGAAGTTGATAAAGTTTTTTAATCATTTAAAAGTATTCCTATATAAACCTTTGCTATTATAAGAGAAATAATCTGAAAAGCTGTATATTATTTCCATTGAATAATGTTAAGAAAACGTAATATAAAAACTAAAAAAACACAATTGCAGTATAGACTACACGTGTATATATAGAATTCAAATATATACCTATCAAACTTTGCGAAGGGGATATTTTGTCCCTTTACACTAAGATTAATGTGTACGTAATACAAAAATATGTTGTAAGTTAATGTCATTTAACGAATTGTGTGACAAATTTGTTGTTTTCTGCAGTGAAAAATTAACCAGCAAAAAATCTGTCAGTTATTAGCAACTTGACTCATAAATTTTGAAACTTATGGCCGTATGTCCATTGTGAGTAATATTTACACATTTCTTATTGAAAATATTGTAAAAAGAATCATTGTTAATTGTATATAGTAATTAAAGTTCTTATCTTTTAGACTTGTCTGGCTATAATGTTCAATTTGAGGAATTATAAATACGTGTATTACCTCCCTTTAATAATTTTACATGGATTTCCTGAACCTCGGTATTACAAACTTTGAGCAACACCAAGGGTAAAAGCCATCTCACCTGGTTGAGCTACGAACACGCCGGTATAGACGGTGGCTACATTTCTGAAGCTCCAATGCTTAAAGACACAAGGGGGGTATCTAGCAGTTATGGATATAGAACACCCGATTAGCTCAATAGGGGGGGGGGGGGGGTACACATAGTAGTTATCCTGGTTTGATCCTTTGGCAAGGCAGAAATTTTCCCTGATAGGTGATCTCTGACATCGAGTCTAATAGATTTTGTCGCTCATTCTGATTTAATAATAATAATAATAATAATAATAAAACATGTAGGATTATTAGTCGGTCATTCAGGAGAAATTAAAAAAAGTACTGGTTAGTTATCCAGGAAAGCTGGTAACATGTTCGTGGACCGACCGACAAGATATGACCAATAGTGTGTTAAAATCGTCGTAACAGAATAACAGACAGATGTGTATGTATTAAAGAAATGATATTTAAGTAAATATTCAAAATTTCATTCATAAGTATCTATTTATAAGAGCCACTGATCTTAATTGATGTATTTAATGTAAATCCGTGAAAGGAACACATAATTTTGAGAATGATTTAACTAAATGGCTTTAGATACCGTCCGGTTAGCACAATAGGTAGAGCGTTGGACTGGAATCAGGCGACCCGGGTTCGATTCCCGGACGGTGCATGTCACTTTCGTTGTAATTGATTATGAATTCCTTTCAACGATCATTCGCACCGTACCTCTGCACTGTCTTTGGAAACTCGAAAGTGAAGACAACTATAGTACTGGTTAACTGTTTGACAGCCTGCCACAGGAACGACACGTTGGCTGAAATGTGCTCTACTAAATTCAAAGTGGCTTACTGCCGTGATCTGGAGTTAAAACTATCAACACCGCCATTCAATGGCTTAATGTGGAGGAACAGTGTAAAATTGTTTGAGAAATTTTTGCTGTAACTGTAAGAATATGTGGTTACAGTGATATTATGCCAATCCAAGGGTATATATAGTACATGTAGTAAGTTGACACGTGAATATCAAAATAAGTTTACATTTGCTATAATTCAATTTTATAATTTACTTTGTATGAACCATACATAACTCACATGACCGAGGGAAATTTCTGTAATTATCCGTCAGAATTAACATGTAACATTCAATTTATAAGAAGACTGGGGCAGTCCTTCTATATTATAGAAAGACCTTAATATTTTCTAATATTAATTTTTGGTCAATTACTGTCAACCTTTTGAACAATACAATCAAATCAGGATAGCTAAAGTTGATGATGAAAAAAAGAGCGTCGTGTCACTTTAAACAATGAAAACGCTAAGAGAATAAAGCGTATGAAAATAAATTTATTTAATTCTGGATTTCACAGAAAAAAAATATATATATACATGATATACAATCCAAATATAAAATGATATGTATGAATTCATAAAAGTACAAAACTAAAGTTTAAAGCTGCAAACAATATATTTAACTATGGTAAGATTTGCCTACCGTTGCAAAATGTACATGCCAAAGTAACACAAAGAAATCTTGTTTTTATATAACAACTTTTTAATTATATAACTTTATCCAAGGATTATTTGCTATGCGCGGAAGTACATTTTGCAACGGTAAATAAACATTTGATGTTAATGTATCAACGTGCTCATGAATGATTATTAATATCCGTCTGGTGCCCCATGTTTTCTATAATCACAATTGGCTGTAATCTGGTCCCCGGATTTCAATATTCCTTGAACAACGGCACCAGCACTTTCATGGATTGAGATGTTATGACCCATGCCTTGTAAACCATTAATCAATACCTTAAATAAAGAAATAAAACTACTTTAAGTAATTTAATTAAACATCTAATTCAGATATATGTGATCCCTGGGATCATGTTTACGTCTTAGTGTGGTCAACAAATTACGCCTGGCCTCGAGGTTCTAATCTTAGTTTTAAGTCGTAAGAATTTCATTGGTTAATATATATTATCTATGCCTGTTTCTGACCAATCAAATTCCTAAGACCTGAGTCTGGGATTTGGAAATTTCTTTATAACCTTTGGTCCAGTTCTTGTATATTCCAGAATGCAGACTCGAAAGCTCTCAGACAAGATATATGTACACAATTTCTTTGTTACTGTAACCGATCTTGAAATAAAGTATGTTTATATATGATTACTGAATTACACTGCTAATAATATACATGTATCATAATATTTGTGGTCAGCAATAAAAATAACAAAATAAAAGGTCTTACCTGTGGAAATCCCTGTTGAAATCTGATTTCTTGAGGAAATAGTTGATGATGTATACGTGGGTAATCTATTGCTTCCTTTATACCCCACTTAAACCACAAAGATTCCATTGTAACCTACGAGTAAATATTTAGATATTTCATACAATTCTTACTAACATACATGTTACTATATGTTATTCATGTGCATATCTGTTTTTATTTTTGTCTGCTTCGTTGTTTTTTGTAGTTTTTTCTTGTTGTTTTATTATTATTGCTTTCTTTCTTTCTTTCTTTCTTTCTTAAAACACGCTAATTAGCGGGGACGCGGGGCGAAGATTTATTTTATTAAACTTCGCCCCGCGCCCCATACGTTTTATTTCTTAATTCTCGCTCCGCGCCCTCGCAATTTCTCACTCTGTCTTCTATATTTGCCATTTTGTAATTAGATCAAATGTTCACGTGGGTTACATGTATGAATAAAAAAGATGTTAAAATAAAAACGACATATTCAATTAATATTTTTAAATTTTTTAAAGTTTTAAATTTTGATGCGAGGGACTGGAAAAACTAATATTCAAGATTTATGTACTATTTGATGCAGGTCTGGATTAATAACTTGAGCGCAAAATTTCAGATCATTCGCTCTACGTTTTTCAAAGAAAACTATCATAATTGTGAAAAAGCGTTTCAACGCTTTTAAGTCGAATACGTTTACGAATGGCATCGACATTTATTTCTACAAAAAAAAAACAACATTATCTTTTGCATATATCTGTGTCGCAGTTAATCTCTATAAGAAATTCAAATTTCACGTTTCCCACCTTTTTGACCTCAATGATTATCGTTTGAAGTATAAAAAGTGCATAGTGGAACTATGTTTTTCGCGCATGAATATCATAAATGAACGAAAAGAAGTGCCAGCCTATTATGGTCTACACAGTGTATTAATACCTGAGCCGTTGAAGTTGTAATGCGAGTTCCTCCTGAAGCACCAACAACTAGTTTCACATCTTCGTTACCATCGACAACTATACTTGGGGTCATGGATGATAAAGGTCGTTTCCATGGTGATATGAAGTTAGCAGCAGACGGAGGAACGCCGAAAAAGTTCGTAAGCCCAGGTGTAGAAAAGTCGTCCATTTCATCGTTAAAAATTATTCCAGTTCGACTTCCAATAACCTTTGACCCGAAACTGCAGAAAAAAATTCCGATTAATTGTACTGAATTTGAAAAAAAAATGTTCTGGCTTGTATTGAAATTATACCATAGTTTGTAATAATGATATTGTAGAAAAAATTAAGATCTTCTTTTCTACAACCAGGTAGGCTAGTGGAGTACATAAATATTAAACGCATTTTGTTTGCAATTGCATGGATAGTTAAATGAATATAAATTCAAACCTCAAGGTCATTGGAAGAATTCTTGCTGGTATATACAGATAAAGGGCGATGTTCTACCCTATATTTGGTTAATGTCTCTTAATGAATACATATTAAAGTTTAGTCTGCTAGTGACCAAAGATTCTGTCCATGCGACAAGTGCAGACCAATATCGGCCTGCACATGCTTATAGACAACACTATTTGCTATTCAGTGAGTATATATAATTTTCACCTCAAATTGACAAATGTCTCTGTCCATATTGAAAGATTGAAAGACCATCTAAGATACTTAGCCTTGTAAGGGTTAAAATAGCTCAACGTACTGTAAATTTATGGTACTTGTTATAGAAACAGCGTCCCCGTTTGGTCCGAGGACTGAGAGATGAGCTGTACCATGGTCCCATGGATTACTGAACATTGGATTATAGTATTCCGTCCCGAATGTAGTTGTGTCATTGATGAGGGCTCGTTTCATTTCCCCAAAACTTGTATCCGTCATGTTCTCAACCAACTGCAAAAAGAGAAGAGTATTTTATTTGTCCCTCAATCAGTCTGCAATGGTCAAAATTTTATGTGTGTTTTTTTCTCTCCAGAGATACTCTTTTCGTCAAGTCAAATATTCAGGACAAAAATAAACGTTCAAATGAGAATGAAAAATGGGCCTTCAGGAAACATATTATTAAATAAACAGTTGCCTGATACAAGCATTTAAACAATATTTATAAAAATAGTTAACAATGACAAAAAGTTCATCTTTATTTGCGCTGGATATCTTGGACTTCTTTTATTTACTTTCACTTGGGGGCTAATGTTCAGACCAAATCAAGGGACGAATTATAATTTTCATTACATACTCCATAGACTTATTTTAAAAATTATATAATATCTTTGTTTTTATAATAAGGTGCTAATTTTCTTAATTTTAAATAGAATCATACATTTTAATCAAAAGGTAACGTGAGCAAATGTTGGTTCAGGTTTATGACCAATAAGTAACCTTTTAGAAACTATATATAACAGGACACCAAAATTAAAAGTCGATTAAGAAATTAAAATCAGAAGCATATTGGGCATTTAAAATATTTCATCTTTATATTCAAAAACGTTCGATTATGATGGAAATTTCCAAAATTTAATCTAAATTGGAAGCTGGGCAAATCCATACATTACTTATACAGGATAATGGTTCAAACTACGAAAACATTGCCTGGAAATAGGGGGAATGGGAGTGTCAGTCCTGTAATTTCTAACCTCTTTGATAAATGCTTTAAATGAATCTGAGCCGACATCACCATCTCCCAGCACAGTTCTCAGAGAATAAGCGTGTTTGTACGCTTCAACAATCCTGTGCCAGGTCACCAGAGCTTTATCTACAGTTGATACACTAGATTGATCAAGTTCGAAACCTGTAATTAAAAACAATTACATAAAAATATTTTCATTTCTTCGTTTGTTTTCTTTCAGTCTGGACAAAACCATTTATAATTTATCATTTAAGGAAAATGTCACAGGGTGAGAAAAATGTGCAGCCTGACCAGGACTCAAACCCGAGACTCTCGGAATACCGTACACCGGATATACCGACGGAGTTATCCGACCGCTTACACATCATTTCTCCTAAATAGTGAACAGTTCTGAACAGTGACAGAAATTCTGAAAATATATTGAATGGCAAAGAGTGCAGACTATGATCTATCGGCAAAGATGTGTCGGCTGATCTAGGCCTGCACTGTTCACATTTTTACACTCAGTTGCCGCCAGAATGCTAAGCATTGCTAAACTGTAACTATTATTTAATGTCATAATGATATTTCGTCAGCAAAATTTAATCTATTTACCTGTAAGTATGTTCAGTATGAACTGGTAAACGGCTCCGCTAGATGGCGGTGGTGGGGAGTATACAGTCATATTTTCATGCAGTTTTATTACAAGAGGTGCTTTGACAGGCGCGGTGTAATTGGCCAGATCCTCCCGTGTTATAATTCCTCCTGAAATAGATATCAAACTTGTTCATATCGGGCATTATGGAAACCCTGGGTGGATTTAAAAGATTTAATTAACGTCCCTCCGAGGGTTCTGTATAAACTATCCTTTGGAAAAGTTTGGATCATCTGTTCATTTTTGTTTTTGAACAATAATTCTAATTGTCAACTAAAAAGCGTTGAAATGCTTTTAACTCGTATCTGGCTAAAATAGAATCAATATACAATTTTAAATTCAAATTAAAAAGTATATTTTAATTATCCTTTGCATATACTCATGTTGATAGATATCAGAAATTACAATTTTATGTTTTAAAGCTTTTGGACCTCACTGAAGTTCTTGTAAACGAAATTTCAAAGAGTTGACATGTTAATTATAAAAATGACTCATATACATATGTACTATAATTAACTTTAACTGAATTTCCACAGTGAATATCCGAACAAAATATAGACAAAATTAAAAGATATAAAGCAATATCTGATGATATTTTCAATAACATTTACAAGTATTAAATTATAGTTTTTCCATTATCATATGGTCGGTTCTAAAATAAGTTGTAATATAAAATGTCTCTGCTATTTACTATTAATGGATATTACCCTTTAACAGAAATGTTTCGTAACGCAATAATATTATGCTGCTATGTTAAACAGGGTTTTAACCGTGTGCATAAGCCATTCGCTCTTAAAAACAAATGCACACATTTTTCTTTCATAATTTTCATTTTTTTTTGTTGCAGTATCTTTTTTTTACAACAATCACATACGTATATAGAATCAGACACTTTATTCCTTACCAGCATCTTGTATATCTTGCGTTATATTTTCAGCCAGACTTCCATTATAGAAGGAGAATGGATCGTCGGCGATTATCTCCAGGGTTTTGGCCAGTTTGGGACGGTACATGACGTCACCGATCTGATATAACTTTCCTGTTCTAGGATTGGTTATAAAGTCTCTGTAAAGAAACGATTAGCCTAGTATCAGACTTTATAACAATTGGGATTCATTGCTGCTTTGAATTTATGTCATATAAATCGATGTTTTAACTGAGGACTGTAATACAACTGCAAATGTTATTATACATGTATAATTATAATATTTCAATACGCGTTGTAACTTCTAGAACATTTTTACATTTTTCATATACCCGTGCCGTAAAAATGCCGTGCATATATTTTGACGCGACGTCATTTGCGTAATTCACACATAGCGTTAAGACTCGCTAAATGTAAGCGTTATTCTACGGGTGCGTCAAAGAAGAATGGCCCTTTTTCACGTAAAACGGTCTTTATTTTAGGTATGTGATAAATAGAACATTAAATTCGTGTAAGTTCATTACTGAATCTATTGAACTCGTTGAATAAATTCAGTATTAAACTTACACTCATTCAATTTCCTCTATTTCTTTTAACAAGATGGAATGTTTAGTCACATCAATGCATTTATGTTGAAAGATCAAACTTTATTGAAATAGAAATAAAATGTACATAAATATGCATGTATATAAAAAATAAAACATAACTGAACTTATTTTGAGACTTCGCGCCCAATTAGTTATTCTTCGGGAAGAAACTGTTCATGACCCTTAATCACGTGTTACTATTATCTTATTCTGAAACATTGAACATTAAATTCTTGAGGAATAAAACTACATTTCTGGCATTTCATTTACCTGAATGACGGGTATTCAGCGAAGAATTTTTCTTTGTTAGAGACCCCATCAAATAGAGCAGGCCCGACGGTTATTCCATGTCTACACAGCTTGATTGTTGGTTGAAATAACTGTTTCCATGGCAACCGACCACCAATTTTCCAGATTTCGTAAAGACCTCGAATCTCACCCGGTATACCAATAGCCACGCCGCCTGTGAACAGAAATTTTAAGAAGTATATTTTTAGTGTTTCCGGTTTTTTGGTGGTATCACGGACTTTAATTAGATTTCCAAAAATCGGATAATAACTATGTTAAAGCCATACAAAAGTTGTAAAAATAATAGGAATCCGTTTTGAACGGGCATTTGTACGGTTGGCGCCTGCAAATTGTTGATCGATGTACTTATATCGGTTGCGCGACAAGATATTTAAGCATTTATATATGATTAACTGTCATTGTCAATTAAAGTCCGTGATGGTATGGAATTCATTTTGATATGATTTTTGAAATTTAACAAAGTAATAATTATGCCCTAGTATTATCCACTTTTAGATACAACAATATATCAGTTAAAATAAAAGAAAAAATAACAGTATTAAATTTAGATTTTCATAATTCTATTTATAAAACATATCAATTCTTCTAAATAAACATTTCCTATACATTTCCATGATGGATGTATAGATGGATGGATGGATGGATCGATGGTAGGGTTTCATAATTGGACAAAACTCATAATCGATCATCGAAAATAATCGAACCACCCTTTTCGATCAATCATCGATTATATAATCGAAACATTTACTATAACAAAGTAAATATGTACAATGTTCATATCATGCTTTAATATTTATAAGAATTCCATTTTTCATGTAACCACCCACTTTATCAACATGAAATAAATTAGTTTATTAATTTAAAGAATATACTATGCTCATCCTTGAAGTAAAATATTTTTATCAAATAAATTCGCTAAAATCTATTTGAAATTTATTATGTCTCACTTCCAAAAGCAATGAACAAATAATGTATGGGAACAAGTTAAGTTTGTTCCTTTCTTTTAACAAAAAACTGCCATTTTTTTTTATAATGACACTATACTTGATATTTGCAACCACCTTTAGTGGTGTAGAATAATTTATAACATAACATTCCTTCTTTGTGTGAAGTCAAAACATTTTTATATTTACAAATAGACTGTGTAGCAAATTTCAATATTCTGTAATGTCAAATTTGAGCATATAGTATACCTTTAAACTAGCATGCCTCACAGTCAACTATTAACTCCATGGTCACCAGTATACATGTACTTTCATATTCAATTGAATAAAAATTATTGTTTCAACCAAAACTGGCTTTAATTTAGTGTTGTTATAATACAGTGAGTCACTTAAGTAACAGCAAGAAAATAAATTACCGATAATCGATTATTAAACTTTGTAATCGATCATCGCTGATCGGTTCTATAAACGATCAATTTTCGATTATACTCGATCATCGTTTAATCCCTAATCGATGGATCGATATATATATAAGTTGTTTTTGTACATAAACTGAAAATTTACCACTTTCAGACGAGGTGTTTTTGCCCTCGGTAAACATATCCTCCGAGGCATTCGAGGGCGCCTGTTCACGTGCAATAACTGTATATGACTTTCTCTCCTGTCTGAAATTATTAAAACTTAAAGTTTAAACTTAAACCCGATTAATTTCTTTAATGAAATGGCAAAGAATGTCCACGATCGTTTTGGGGGATATCTAGATAAGAAAAATAAGTCCGACAGTTGTATGGAGCCAAATAAGAATACACAGATTTATATGCTAACCTGACTCAAATTTGTTGGACTTTTGTTTCCAGCAGGGTAAGTTATAACGAAATTGTACAATATTTTATGCAATAAAAGATGAAAAAACCTATTGTCTCTTTCTATATTAATAATATTTTAACTCACCACTGAAGTCGGATATGAAAGCACATAAAGTTACAGAATAAAAAAGCTTAGTATGCTGCAGCATTGTTTTAAACTAGCCGATTTGGATGAAATGTTATTTTGCTTTAAAAACGCTATTTTAAAACCTAACTATGATATTATGTCAAATTGAAAATATTCAAGCTTGCTGATGATCCCACCACATGATTTAAGCAATGACTGCTTAATTTTCAAAGATAAACCATAAATTTAATTTGGGTACTATGAGAAACTTCTTCAAATTGACGATATATCCTTTTATTTTGTACATAATTTTCGCTAGACAAGCTGTCCAAATAGGGTACATCGCCGGTCAGGTATCTTTTTTTTTCAGGTAAAATATCAACTAAATCCAATATGCTGAGGACGCGATCTTCCGCCATTGACGCTAAAAATGAGAACGGCGCAGGAAAATCGGCAGCCAGACTAATATCGTATGAAAACAAAACTGTCCGTTAGGTTATTTAGGCACCCAGTCAAAACTGGTACCAACAGCAACAGGTTGCCCATTCCCCTATAATTACGCATATTCTCGGGTTAATCCAGTTCCCTAAAGCTTTTATTCCACGTTATCTACTTACCAAATTCTTTTCCCTAACAGATACACATTTCTACTACCGTAAATTTAATCCAATAAAATAAAAAATCATTAATCTACTAAATATTTAAAATGATTATTGATAACTGAAAAAAATGTGTTGCTATTTTATGACGTGCTGTAATTTACTATAGTATAAGTAATAGAAAGAGCACCGAAACACGAGGCTATCTGATTTGTACGAGGGGGCGTAGCCCCCGAGTATAAATCAGATTGCCGAGTGTTTTGGTGTTCTTTCTCTTTTGTATCATAGTCAAACATGACAGCACGTTCCTTGTTTTCAAAATACGAAACCCCAGAAAAAATGAACCAATGAACGAGCATTTGAATATGACATTCCTGCCCCTTTCTCTTTCTCTGCCGTCACAATATGTAAACCCCAGCAAAAATGAACCAATCAACTGGCATTATCTGGAGTGCGGGTAACTGATACCTGCACTCCAGTTACCGCACTGTGCATGTATATGTATACGATTTAACTCTGACACTTTTTTAACAGAAAGGTCCCCAAACTATGATACAATTTGACAGGTGTGGAACCTAATTCCCCCTAAGGTCATTCAGTTCACTGATGAAGCGTAAAAAAAAAGATGTCTATTTCGTCATTAGAATATTTGAGACAAGGGTGATTAACCAATCAGGGCAACATTGTGCATGATCAAAAGGTCTGGCGGCACAGAGGCATACAAGGAGCAATAAAAATCGTCAGCACACAGTGTGACAGGAGCATTTGGTGCAAATTAGGAACAATTAAAATGGACAATGCGCAGTATTAGACATAAGTCGTAAGAACCAGCAATTGTGTGAATAAATTATGCAAATTAGATTTTTGAGCAGCCAATAAAAATGATTTGCCTGCAGTTAATATAAGGCTACGATTACGATGCACAGCATCATACGTTGACAGACATGTTAACAATTTACTTTTCAAAAGAGTTGCTTATATTTTTGAAATGTTGAATCAATTATAACATATGTTCACACCTATAAATTTGAAAGTCAGAATCAAACTGCAAAAATTTAATTATATGTACTATTAAGAACACGTTTTAAATGGAAGTGGCTAGCGTACGAGCCCGTTCGGCTAGCCAAAAGTTTTAGCCGTACGTGAGTCAAGTACGACTAGCAAGGACACGCTGTATTGGCTAGCCGTACGGCACTTTTCAAAATTTTATGGAAGTCGAAAATGCATATGTTATTTTATGACTTTAAGCGAGGATTTTAACCAAGAAACAGCATTAATTGTCTTTGGACGTTAACTTTGTAGAGATTAATCGCCTTGATCGCTATATATATCGATCTTTGTCATCGCAAGATGTCGAGAAAAATAGCCTTTGCTTGCATTAACACCAATTGAAATAGTTTACAAAAATTTGATAATAATCCTTTTTTGTTTCATTAAGTTTAATTTTCGACACCTTTTATATGAAAAAAAAACAACAACAAACACTGAAAATGATTGTTGTTAGGCTCTTGATAATTGCGACAATTACCGACGGTACTGTATAGAAGTTTAATTGTCCATCAAGGAAAGTTTGCATGTTCCGTGAAAGGCATTCTAATATTCTATTGTCAGTCCCTGGATAGGTTTTAATTAAGGCCAATTAATTGATTGACTGTGCTTTTATGTTCGATATTTATCTACTGTTATGAAAATTATATAATTGTTTTTGCATTTCACCGTTTTTTTTTTGTTTTTTTTTTCATCAATGTTCTTTTTATTTATTTATTCCACTCCGATCATTTTTTATTCGATTCATGTGCTTAAAATTAACAAAAATGATTTAATAATTCATACAAATAAAACAACACATGATAAGCATGAAAATCAACAATTTTATAACGTTCGACTTCCATATAATTTTGAAAAGTGCCGTACGGCTAGACAATACGTATAGTGCGTCCTGGCTAGTCGTTCGTGACTCACGTACGGCTAGAACTTTTGGCTAGCGTACGTTTCTTTATTTTTTATTTTTGATATTGTTACGTATTTTGAACCATAAAAAATCTCCTCTACACCTCCTGTGAAAATTAAATTGTCTGGTCAATACTTTATTATATCAATATTTCCTTACGATTCAACTAGATTTATCATGAATCTAAAGATGTGGGGAAATGACATCACGCGCACCTGTTTTTATACGACCAATACACAAACATGGCCGCGCTTACTGATTTGTAGAAATCGGTGATTTAGCGATTTAAATTTTGTTATCATTCGTTTAATATTATTATTTGGCGGCAGAAAATTTGCAGACTTATTATTTATAGTATTCTTTTTCTGAAATCAAGTTTTTATTCTAACCTTGTCTTTCCCTTTAATAATTTAAAAAAATGAAAACAAAAATGAAATGAACATCATTTAATTTAATAGGACTAATAAAATAGATTAAAAAAAACCAGTAATAATAATAATAATAATAATAATAATAATAATAATAATAATAATAATAATAATAATAATAATAATTTGTGTTTGTATTTTAAGACATAAAACTATTATCAATATTGCTTCAGCACTCGTTTTCATATTTTCAAACAGATAGTAAATGAGTTCTTTAAAATTAAAAATTGCTTGTGCAATACTGAAACGAAGCTTTGCGTATTCAGTCCAACCTGTTGTAATATGTCAGAAAATGTCCTCCGCCAATACCACAACTATGGGCATTCATAACGCCGACGCACAAAATTGCGGCGATTGCTGCGTCGACAGCACTTCCGCCTTGCACCGCCATCACGTGACTGAAAATAAACAACAACAACAAAAATAGTAAAATATGTAGGCTTGTGCAGTGGTTTATTTGTCATATTTCCATGATATACATGTTTCTGTCTATATCGTATAATAAATAATAAAATTATTTTCTTATATGCATTTGGGTCACGTGATTCTCGATGTGTATGATATAAAGACTGTGAATTCATTTAAATGCATGGGTAATTTTTGTCGAAAAGACGTTTTTGTGTACTCTTTAATTCGTGGATTTTTTCTTTGTGCATTAAAGGTAAAATGTAAATAAGATTATAAAAATAATTGCAGAGCAGACAAAATAAGATTTCGTTGATTTTCAAATTCGTGGAATGACCTAACAAACGAAAACCACGGAAATTAATGCCCGACGAAAAATAATGATTATGCCGTTGTATGTGACTCAGTGTGACCTTCATGCATTGGTAGAAAGACATGGTTACAGAGGAAGTGTCTTACCAGCAGATTCGGAGAAATTCGCGGCATCACTGGCCGGATCGGGGATTTCGTAAAACACTCATTTTTTTAGTGATAACATGAAACCCTAGTTCATTCTTTCTCACTTAAGTACGACATTCCATGTATTTAACATTCTATGACATTTCATGTCTTCAATATTCTGTTTTTAATGTTACAAACATAAGTTTTTCAAAACTCAAATTTGATTGCTTGTCTTGAAAGTCAGTATTATTTACGAGCCCCGAATTGCCAAACAATGTTTATCATATATGGTTACGTATTAATTAATGGTTTATTTAACAGTAATATTAAGCCTATAGACTTTATAGTTAACATAAAATATAAGGATAAAGGGTATTTGTGTTTCACGTTAATTTGCAATTTACAAGCGTAATACTAACAAAATCATTTACGAGGCTCTTAAAAACCATGCGTTTGACAATATGTTTTCAATAATATCAATGTTATTATATACTTGATATCTTTCGTGTTGATATTTGTCTTGCTTATATTTATATTTAATTTATTTAAACCATTTAACACTCTCATATAATTTCTTTGTCAATTTGAAAAATAAATTTACAACATTTACGAGCATATCTTTTACGGGACTATTCATCTTTTCTTGTGATTTATTCCGCTTTTTCTGTCCATGTTCTTAAAAATGTATTTGAAATATGTTTATATAAAGTTTCTAAAAATTCATAATTTTGATATTGTAATTGATATTTAGACCTTTTTGACTTTTAAAATAGAGTTCGTTCAATGGATGTTAACTTTCATGAAACCACAAAAATGAAGTAAACATGAAAACAGGTTTGTCCCATATATGGCTTTACTGTCCCATAAATTGTAAAATTAAATGTGGAATATTCATTCGAGTAAAAGGCAAATATTAAGTTTGATTCCACGCCTTTCAGCGAAAAGGCAATAATTTGGAGTATATTGTATAATATTATTTTGTAAGATGGCAGGTTCTTTGAAGCCGAATGGGGAAAAGTAGCTAGTACTTGTACTTAAATGAATAAATTCTGAAAACTTTACAACTTTTTATAGAATTTTTAGTTAAATGGGATATAATTATTTATGCATTTGCATATTATATATTTTATTTTTTTTCTAAATATTTTGTCTGTTTAAACAAACATGCTGTACAGAGTTTTGCAGTTCAATTATCAGATAAAAGTATTAAGTAATGAAATTGATGTGTCCCGTAAATGACCAGACAAAATTATAAAACAGTGATTTTCTCAAATTTTGCCAACAGAATATCTACTTTTTGAAACTAGAATGTATGAAATGTCGTGGTTTACTGAGAATGAGTTTGTTATTTCCTTACAATTTCACATCCATTCCCTGACAAGACATTTTGTTTCCTGGGATAATCATGTTGCTGCTAGTTACTGAACATTTATTAAATCGACAATATTTTAAAGAATAATGGAAGGTTTTGTACATCACCAATCTACATTGTAGGTCATCAAAATGATCATAGCAATGAACATGATTGAGCACAGCTTTTCAAATAATTTATCTACGCCAGATGCACGCCAGATGCACGTCCTCGATTTTTTCGTCGGATTAGAGCTAAATCATATTTAATTAAGTCCCCCGCGATCCGATTGTGGTGTCATTGTATTAGCTTTGCATGGATAAGTCCGTATCCTCGGGCAAAGACTTAAGTCACGCGTTAAAAAACGTTACTTCACAGAATACGTTATAAAAACGTTGCAAAAAATGTCAAATAATATTAAAACCGTCTAAATTAAATATAGAATAGATAATTTAAAATCAATACTAAGAGGGAGAAGGTATTTGGAGTGGAATGACTTATGAACCTGTTAAAATTATAAAACAAATATGTTGCCTTTCCCATCCGGTTGTCATAAATGAATGGTTTATAAAGCCTTTGGAATCTGTCACTAACAATTTGTCGACTATGGTTATCCTTATAGCTGAAATGCTGTACAGGAGAGTTACAGGTTGACTATGTCTTCGTCTATGCCCCTTCGTTCAAGGGGTTATAACGATTGCACACTTTGACCCCTTTTTAGCGCAAAAGGGTTACTAGTGAGGCGTGTATATGGTCGCACGATCACTTACTTTCTATGTCCCTGATGCGTGTATGTGGTCGCACGGTCAGAAAATTACACTAAAATCATTAAATACGATTAAATATTTTTCCTATTTACTACTCACCTGACTAGAAACAATAACCACTGCAAACTACTCACGCCACTATAAACATTCACCACTGCATACTACTCACGCCACTAGAAACATTCACCACTGCATACTACTCAAACAACTAGGAACATTTACCACTGCATATACTACTCACGCCACTAGAAACATTAATCACTACATACTACTTACACCACTGGGCACATTTACTACTGCATACTTCTCACGCCACTAGAAACATCTACCACTTCATACTATTCACACCACTAGGTACACTTACCAGTGCATACTACTCATACCACTAGAAACATTTACCAGTGCATACTACTCACGCCACTAGAGACATTCACCACTTCATACTATTCACGCCACTAGGTACATTTACCAGTGCATACTACTCACGCCACTAGAAACATCACTAGGAACATTTACCAGTGCATACTACTCACGCCACTAGGAACATTTACCATGCAATGACTTACACCACTAGAAACATTCACCACTACATACTACTCACACCACTAGGAACATCTACCACTGCATACTACTCACACCACTAGGAACATCTACCACTGCATACTACTCACGCCACTAGAAACATACGCCACTAAAAACATTCACTACTCACGCCACTAGGTAGTGCATACTACTCACACCACTAGAAACATTTACCAGTGCATACTACTCACGCCACTAGAAACATATACCATGGAATGACTCACACCACTAGAAACATTCACCACTACATACTACTCTCGCCACTAGGAACATTTACCATGCATTGCATACTACTCACGCCACAAGGAACATCAACACTGCATACTACTCACGCCACTTGGGACATTTACCATGCATTGCATTCTACTCCCGCCGCTAAAACAATCACCACTGCATAATACTCACGCCACTAAGAACATTCACCATTACACACTACATACTATTGTGTGCTCTTGGAGCATTACATACTGCTAATGCCGTTATAGGAAAGTAATCCATTGCCTACTGCTCACGTCACTAGGAACGTCACTGTGACCATCTAATATTACCGAAGACACTTGGAACTTTACTCACTGCTAACTTTTAATGCCCTTATTAATTAAAAGTACAGATGAAACACTACTTAGTGACTACATGTATATAGGGATGTACTTAGAGATGTTTTACCGGAAAACGTTTTACAATGGTTTATGATTATAAAAATGATTAAAAAATTAATTTATTGATATAAATTAATATTTGTTCACTCTGGCCTATGTTATTTATGTTTTATAGATCTTGTATGTTGTAATAAAGGATTTAACAACATTTTATTGAAATTATATATATGTACATAATTATTCTTCTAAAACAATTTCCAAACATACAAGCATATGCTAAATATGTACTGCAAATGTTATACGCATTATAAGTTTATACATTTATTTTTACATCGTATCAAAGGGAAGTTTCCGTGTGTATAAATATTTTTCCTACATGCATCTTGGTACTTAAATTATTCTCATTTTATTACACACACTTCTTGTAGTAAAAGTTTGTAAATTCCTTAAACGTTTAAACGGTTGTTATCTTTTGAAGTGAACCCAATAAAGCGCTTTTACATGAACTTTAACTGGAAAGCTTTTACAACACTTGTAAAACATTGAATGTAGGTCTGGACGTGCAACATTTCATGTCTATTCCCTTACTTCTTTTTCCACATTATATTTTTTTTAGTTTGCAAAATGATCGAACAAATGAAAAAAAATGTTGCAAACGCTTTTCACTCAAACCAGACATTTTTTACTCAATACGGGCTGAAAATCGTGCAAAAAATCGCTTTTCAATAAATAATTTAACTCTGAGTATATTTCTGCATTATCTTAAGCAGATTTTTTTTTCATTTTAAGTTCATCTTTTGATCAATGCAAGGGTCTTATATTTTATGTTTTCAGGCCTTTTGACCTAATTTTATGTCTTTAAAAAAGAAAAGCAATAAAAGCGATACTATTTTTTTTGAAACATAAAAAGATTTGCATGCGTTTAAGGGTGAGAAAAATTAGTCTATAATCTGTACGAATGGAAAGTAGATGGTATTACTAAATATTCCCGTACTATGTTCAATTTATAACTAAGGCAACTTTTGAATGCCGTAGATGCTGTAAAAAATATCGAAAAGGGCTGATCCCTTGGAAGCAATTTAAACAGAGAAAGTTAAATAAGATTTCGTTTGATTTGAGAGACAAAAATGGTGTTTATAGACAAGCGGTCTTTGTTTTGAGGTTATTTTCATTCATTTATACTGCTGCTGCTGCTGCTGCTGCTGCTGCTGCTGCTGCTGCTACTGCTACTGCTACTGCTACTGCTACTGCTACTGCTACTGCTACTGCTACTGCTACTACTACTACTACTACTACTACTACTGATAATATTAATGATAATATTAATAATAATAATTAAAAAAAAAAATTTAAAAGAAGTGATATGCTTGTTTTCCGATCCATATACATGTTCATATTGTGATGTAAATAGGTAAATATTTGTCAAGTTGGTAATTTGAAAGAAAATATTTTCGAGCTAAAAATTATATGACTTAGCGACGTTCAACTGACCATACAATCGCTTGCAGGTAAACAAACATAGGGACACATCATGAGATTTTTCTAATATAAACGCATCTAAGGCTTTTCCACTATGAAAATATACATTTTTTTCTTGACTATTCCAGTATTCTCATTATGTACTTACTTTCCAATTTTGGAGCATTCTTCCGAGTCAGCTGCCACAGCGGCGAACCTGTATTTCCCTTCCTTCGACTCCGACGGAGGGTTGTATAAAGGCGAGTGTGTGGTCGTTGGTGGAGGGTTAATTGTAGTCGCTGACACAGTGTCTGATTTAGATTTGTCATCATCTTTTCTTCTCAGACCAAGACCTAGACCAAGTCCAACCGCCACAATCAAAGCAACAGTCACAATTGTCACAATTGCCCACGTTCTCCCCTTTGATGCGCTAGAAATACAATATTTAGTATCTTTATACAAAATATTTTTTATAATAGGGGCGTCCGTAGCCGAGTGGTTACGGTCGTTGATGTCCAACCACTTGGTTCCCATTGCATGGGTTCGAATCCTGCCATAGACTCATGGACTCATTGGCTCATTTTATATAAGGACACTATTCGCAGCTAGCTTACGCAGCGTCGGTGGAACTACTCTACTCAGGTGCCCGTTCGTGCCTGAACTAACTCATGGAATGACATCTGAAGTCTTCAACCACCAAGGTGGACAGTCGCCATCATTATGACATCTAAGCATTACATAAACATAAATGCAATATTACAATTGTTAAAAAAACTTTTTATATATAAGAAATAGATGCAATACATATGGAATTAAACATGACGGTCATGAAAATTTCATTAAAATCGAAATGTTTACATAAATTAAACTGATGTTAAAATGTCGTACAGGAAAGACATAAAACAAAGTTTATTTCTAGAAATACGAATATCTAAATTATAATAAAAAGGCTTGATTAACAGCATCGGGTGAAAAGTATTTATCATTATATTAATAAGAAATTTGTTGACATAATGTAAATGGATAAATCTATAAGATTATGAAAGGATTGATTAATTATTTGACATATATATATTATATTGCAACATTTTATATACAAAGAATAAAACGGCATCTATCTTAATTATTCTTACAGATTTAGCATCAATATTTGATCAAGTTTATATCTATATGGGAAAACATGTACACACACTTATCAGTATCTTGCATGACAGAGAACAAGTTTTTCATGAGTACAATGCTACTCTTAAATCATAATAAACACTTCAAACTTCAATTTAACAATAAATGCAATTCATCCTCAGCCGAATTTTAATCACAAAAGGGACATATTCTATCTTTTACGCTCAAGCCCTAATAACAGTCGGTTATGATCCAATTTGGCGTAACCCCTTATAGATGACCGATGACCAGGTGGCAGTCTAGACGGTCCAGTGTTGTTGCGCAAGGTTATTTGCAATTTTATCAATACAAGTACACAAGGGCACATATTCAATAACTTGTACAAACGTTCTAGCGAAGATAAGTACACATTCAAATTATTCCTTACCTAAAATGATTTCAATCATATGACAAAACCAGCTTTTACATGCACATTTGCCTTATTGTATGCTCAAACTGAAGTACGCTTTGTATATCTTGCTTCTTTCATTTTTCCTAACCTTAACCATAAATTTATCAGTGTATTTTCATACACGTACGATCAGAGGTTTTCAGCCAAATAGACCAAACAAGCTCAACATTTTGTGTATACATACCAACACTAAGGAAAAATCGTTCTGCTCTTTTATAAACGGCTTCTATTTATATTTATTTATATACGATTTTGATATACATTTAGACCATTATTAAAAGACCAACACCTTAATTAAACCAAATATTAAACAACACACGAAGAAACGAAAAGACACACCGCTTTTTAACGCTTCAATAGGAATACTATCTATATTATTGGGGGATATTAAACCTGTGGTACATCTAGCGTACTTCTAGTGTACTTCTAGTGTACATATACTTCTTTCAAGAGAAAATTTTCACTTAAGCTGGGACCAGCATGTTCCCTATTATAAACTTTGTTTTTGTCAATATAACTACTTGTGCTGTATTCAATATGTTGATCAACGATTTAAATTCATGTTTTCCCACCTGTTAAGAACAGCATATAGCGTTGACATGACAAGATAACCTGTGGGCAAATTATGACAGTAGAATATGTTAAATCATTAAAGCAAACTAGATACCCGTGAAATTGCTATTTATTCACACACATGATTTTAAACAGGTCAGCAGCATACAGTTTCTTGGTCAGCGATTTTTATTACTTTAAATGATGGCCTGGCCATTTAGTTGGGTTATATTAACAAAAAGGGGTTTTAAGTAAACAGATTTATAAAAGATTGCAAATAGTAGTACCACGGATTTATGTAATATAAATCCGTGGTAGTACTTAGTACAAAATGTATTTGCATAAAACCTTGTTGCCTTCTATACATGAATATAAAGTGTTAAAACCTGAATTATTTTCCATTTTAAATAACAAATAATATAAGCTTTGATTAAAGTTTCTTTAAGCATACACGATTATCCATTAAAGAGATTTTTTGGTTTGGTTTTACGTAGCACCGAACAGGTCATATGTTGACTTTCCAGCTTTACAGGTGGAGGAAGATCTCAGATGCCTTTCCGTGCCTTATTTCATTACTTTTAATTGATCCAGACCTTTACAAAATAGTAAACAAAATAATATCAAAACAATATTTCAAGTCCCGTACGTCATAAACAAACTTCAGTGGAGTCCCTTTAACGATAAAAAATAAAAGGCATTATTTACGTCTAAAACCCTGCCCGAAGATGTGCTATACAAAAGCGAAAACACTTCTCCAGTCTTATCAGTTTCAACCATGCTGATTTTCTTTAAGCCTCAGGAAAAAAAAGATCCCTTAAGCGTCCAGATCGACCTATAATTTAATGCGTATACATAAAAGGCAAGTGCTATTTGACCAGGTCAAAGATGTGTCCAAATTGCAAACTTATGTAGACCATTTCTTAATAGAAAGTGTTAAAACACGTCTAAAGTGTCTCTTTTATTATCTACCGCAACCTACAAGTATATATAAACACTTTTATTATTTGACCAGGTCAAAGATGTGTCCAAATTTATGTATACCATTTTTCTTAAAAGAAAGTGTTAAAACACGTCTGAAATATGTCTTTTTTATTATCTAGCATCATAGACACGCATTATTATTATTATTAAGACACCCAGGAGAAGTAAAAAGTAAACATATTTATAAAAGGGTTTAAATGTAGTATAAAAATCCTTTTTGATGATGTTTAATTTTAAAAAAATGTGACACAATCTTTTTTTATTCATCTTATATGACAAAAAAAATGTACCACGCATTCACAACAAAAATTATTACATTTTCTCTCTATGTCGACGTCTCGAAAATCGTTAAAAAGATATATTCATAAATAACGAGTTCGTAATAAGACGAGTTCGTGATATAAATTGTTCGTAATAATGCATAACGGACACTTTCAAATCATACTTTCCGAGATAAGGAGTATTTTTACTTTAAGTACATGTGTAAAAAAACGTAAAAAAGAAGGCCTTCCTGTCAAGATTTTCGATGATTAGTGATAATAGCAATAAAATTATAACAACACAAAAATTTGTAAAACTTGTGCAAGGTTGTAAAACAATGACAAGGCGTATCATAAAAATCAATCTACAAGAAAGTAAAACACACTTACCGTCCTTTTCCCATGATCCCTTTCTTTCCTTCAACTTTGCAAGACAATTTTTTTAATTCTGTCCCAATTAATGACTGCAAACGTTCTTCTTTTTTAAAACTATCGAGAAAAAATGTTAAATGATGGTTCAGCAATGAGAATCTTATAACTTTTTAAATGAATGAAATAAGATTATTTAATGGATGTGCGTTATGTCAAAGAGTAAACATATTAAAGTCGATCAACGGCTATCTCTATCTAGGGATGTAAAAAGAAGGCAAGTGCACAATACACTTTTAATGAAAAATAGCATAGTTTTGTTTAGTTGTATATCCATAATATTCCCCAGGATATATATAATTGCCTCCTTTTGATTTGCAAAATGCTAACTATCATGCTAAAAAACATTTTTTTTTAAAAAACTGTTTATCTAACTAGATGAACGATTAAAATTTAATTAAGTTTGAAAAATAATAATGTGAAAATTCTTAAGTTAGCAAAATGTTAGCAATACATTTCATATATTCTTCGACTGACACTGATGCATTGACTTCGGTATGTTATATGTAATGAATTGAATTATATCAAATAATTATAATGTGTATTTTTTATACTTCTTAGTCCATCTAATATGCTTAACCTGACTCATAAATAATAAAATTACAATATAATACTTAATCTGAACCTCTCAGTCCATGAATGATGATGCTCATTAATAATAATAATACTAAAAATCTTATACTTACTTTCTTGCCAATTTGTTTCAAAATCCGTAGTCATCGGTTACACTATTTAAAGAAATTGTCATTTCGGTAAAGCGTTTAAATCAATGTGCGATAAAGGAATGAATGATGGTCGATCAACTTTAGTATTATATAGTTTAATTAAAAACCAAAAGGTTTTCTCACCCACGTTACACTATCTCCACAACATGAAGTACACTGTACAGAACAGTTAATACATACGTTTTTATAGTAACTTCTTCGGTGAAAGGTTAATGAAATTTGTCAAATTATATACTGGTATGTACTGAGAAAAAAAAATCGTGATTTATGAAAAATGTGGATTTATAAATAAACTATTATTGTGCGTATATAATAATAGTGGCTTGAAATGAGGACAACATACCAGGAAAGTTGAACCACCGAAGTCATCAACAGTTACAAAGGAACAGGAAAAAGCAGGAAATAAATGAAACCACGGGGAACGCTCAGTGACGTCATCTTAGAGGCAGACGTAATTATAGTAAAACGATAACGGATTGTTGTTCTTTCGTTATTGTTGTTTTTGAAATATAAATAACAATTCTTCATTATTTTCCTCCTCAGAATCAACACATCATACTGAGCTTCGACTTTTAGATGAAGAAGTAGATCTTCATAACTTTTGTTATGTATTTTTTTCTATTTTAGCGAAATCTCAATATAAAATATAATACCTTTTTATTATAATATTTAACCAATCAAAATGCTTCTGTACAAAATGCCTTCGTATGACTATATTTCAATACGTGCACGCACGTGCATATGGACGTCGAATATTAATGTACAATTCAGCCTTAAGATAAAGTACGAAAGTAACACATTAACAAGGAAACCAAACTTGATTGGACACTCTCTACCGGAACGTCGGAGGTTCTACTCAGGTGCCCATTTGTGCTTGAAATAATGTACAGAGGGGCACCCTGGGTTTCCTCTGCTAGTAAAGCTGGAAAGGCGCCATATGACCTATATAGTTTTGGTGCGACATGAAACCCAATTAAGAAAAATCTCTACATGCAACAATGAATGACTTGCCATGTATGTATTGCCGTTTTTACAAATGTTAATTGTTATATACCTTATGTTTGTATCATGTATGATGCACTGAGAGAAATAAAGAATTTGAAATTTGAAAAAAAATAAAAAAATATTACGTCCAGACTATTATGATGAATTGATATTAAAGAAACAGTGTTTAATGATTTATATAAATACATGTACCCGACAAAAATAGGCTTAGAGTATACGTTATTTAAATCGTATTCATTCGGATACGTGTCCATACATTTTATTTACATTATTGTATTGTACAGAGCATTGTTACTATTAACCTATTTTTAAATAACTGCACTAACGAACAGCCATTTCGAGCAATACCCGTAGTATTCCAAAAATATGAAAGTGAGTCCGACATAATTAATTTTTAGAGGTAAATCTTGGTTGTAAATAAATATTTGATTTTAAATCATATCATTTATAAACAAGAAAGTAACGTGCAAGTCGGGTATTAATATAAACACGGGTTTATATTACATTGTAATATAAATCCGTGATATAAAATGCTAGGCGTTCGTACGATAATTTGCCAGTTTAAGATAACGACAATCAAACCTTATCATAATTGCAAATAAAGGTGATACCACAATTTTAATTTAAAATAAAAGCGACGCGCCCACAGATACGCCTGAACAGGAAATACACGGAATAGTACGTTTCACAAGGCAGTTTATTTCCCTTGCACAAATTTCTTGATGTTTTAAAAAGGGTTGTATAAAAGTAGGAAATGTGTATTTGAAAAGCCTTGTTTGCAGAATAAAATCATAAAAGTCGAACTTCATTATTATCTATCATGATTATTAGACCTTTTTACGACCTTGTCCATTCCTATGTAAAATTTACCGGAAGTACTATTTTCTCGCGCATGCGCAATCTGCATAATTCTTGTAATTACATCTTTTTTTATAATTTGATATTCTGGAACCATGCTACAACCCCATCAGCTTAATAGGGGAAGAGTAAGGGGCGGGTGTTCGGTTAGCTCAATAGGTAGACCGTTGGACTGTGAATTGGGCGATCCGGGTTCACGTTCGTTGTGATTGATCATGAAATCCTTTCAACTGTCATTCGCATTGTACCTCTGCATTAGCATGTACAGAAGTTATCAGGTCCTTGCGAAAGTGAAGGCAATTAGTACTGGTAAACAGTTTGACAGCCTGTCCAGAAGCGATGCGTTAGCTGAACTGTGCTCTGGTTAATTTTATTGTGGCTTAATGCCTTGATCCGGAGTGAAAACTACCAACACCACCACGGGTTTCAAAACTAGTCTTTACCCTCTGATTCGCGAATGCACGTCCTGGGATAGGCAGATAAATTACTCTGGCGATTTTATTGACGAAAACGAGTCTGGGTTAAAGTTTCTACAAGAAGAAGTTGTTACTTACTTGCGGAAGAGACCCCGGTACAAAAATATAGATAGAATATCTGACTGAATAGATAAACCAATAGAATCTTCTGACGCTTCAGAATTTGGGTGTATTAAATATAAAATAGGTTGTCCCAAAAGAACAAAAGAAACTATATAAAAGACACTTTATGCCCATAAACCTTTTACCCCATGAGCATATTGTGAAAAATGGCCGTTTTCATTGAAAAGCCTCCTGTTACAAGTTCAAACTGCTATGAAACTATGAAAAATGCTTCAATACTGATGAAACTTGGCACAAATGTTGACTGGACCATAGCCTCTGTAACAGCATGCTCAATCGTAAATTTTCTGTTACCATGGCAACGGGGGGACGTCTCAAAATTGCGAAAAATCACTATTTTGCATTGTTTTTTTTTTTCCATCAAAACTGATTTCAAAGTGCTGCAACTTCTCAATGAATTAAGATAGAGTAAAAGGCTTTTCAGCGTCAGTTACTAGTTACCCTAGGATCGACCTGAGGCCATTTTTAGCCTGTCACATGTCCAAAATTTTCTTGGCGATGAGGGGGACTACCGCCCCCTTCAAACCCCCCAAACAGAAGGGGGCACATCCCCCTTCTGGCAACCCCTCATGTGCCACTTTGATAGGGGGGGGGGGGGGGCAGCGCGGAAAAAGTGGTCACTTTTTTAACAACATTTCTCAAATGAAAAACAGTGTTTGGGGCCTAAATAGGGCGTTTTTTCACTGTTAAAGTGGGGTGGGGGGGGGGGGCAAAAAACCGTCAAAACGGTCTATATAAGGGAAAAGGTTAAATACATAGTTTTGTTTTTCTGTAGAAAGGGCAAACATGTAATTTATAATGTGGCAATGATAATTATATTTAAAACATGTGAGATGCTTAACATTTGTAGGAAATAACGTTGAATGTGAAATAATTTACGATTCAAATTCTAAATTGTAAACAAAGTGATATTTCGACTTCAATATAAATTACTTATTAAGTGTACTAATTGTTAATATGCAAAAGAAGCCAAGATGGCTCACATATATGGTCAATGAGTTAGTAACGTTTTTGAAACTGTAATAAGCAACGAAAGTAAAAAAAAAAACGTTTGGAAAAAATAAATGCATTTAATAGCTTTAATGTTTTTGTGACTTAATGGGCTTTTAAAGCTTTTCAATACGGACATTTCGAAATAAAAGGGTCCTGAAAATCATTAAATTCGCTACAAATGTAGAATAACATGTACATACACACACTAATCTAGCTTAAACAAAGGTTTAAATACTTGTTTACAATTGACATGCTTTTTTCGAAGGTTTCCGGCTTTTAAGAAAACAAACAAGCAAACCTCGTAAATACATAAATTTTCGTATTTTATTTGCATAAAAGAATTAGACACATAGGAACACAACTGATGTAACACATGTTTAAGCTATTTTTTTTCATTTTATTATCACAAGATTAAACAAATATAAAGACTTGTTTTATGGCACTGTTAGGCTATGCAGTTTTGAAATCTTAATTTCATCTCATTGAACAAAGATGGAGTACTTTTCAAAATCTTTACACATGCCTGTTGCATTTTCATGTATCAATTTTTATGTTAAAAAAAAAAGCAAAAAAAACAACAAAAAACAAACAAAACAAAACTGAACGTGTTGTTATTATAAATTTATATAAATAATATATAATATATAAACCTTTACAGACACCTTATTTCTGCGTTTCGATTCTTGAAAATTGTCAAACATACATGTGTTTAATAATGTTTCAATAATACATTTAAAGTATGTTACATGTTAAATACTGAAGGAAATAGCGCCGAACATGCAGTTATGTGTCTTACAGGTACAAAAATGTAAAAAAGTAGTATTTTGACTTCCATACAAAATATTTATTCATTATAATTATACAAATTGTTGACAGGGCAAAATTGGGAGAAGACAGTTCATGTTTATGGAAAATTAGTATAGTTTTGGAAACTGTAACAAGGTACAAAAAGTTGGATCGATAGCATTTCTAAGGCATAATGGGCTTTAAATATAAAACACAGTGACGGACATTTAATTTTTTCCTTTAACTAACAATAATATCTAATCAAACATCATTCTTTGACAAATACGATGAAACCCAAATTCCTTTCAGATCAAGTAAACAGTACTTCAGAATTTCATACTTACATAATCATTAATATAATCATAAAATAACAACAATCAATAATCAGTCAAATAATTAATCAAATAATCAATAAAATAATCAGTCAAATAATTAATCAAAGAAACAATGAAAAAAACATTAGACAATCAAAGGGATATCTGTTGCATTTTATAGCTTTTAAAACAGCCCATAGCATAGAGGAACAGATAGTGCATCAACTCACTTAACATAAATTAATAATGTAGTAAATCATCACAAGTCACTTAATTTTAAATAGTTTCCAAAGGCCCGAAGTTTTTCTATAAATACACCTTGACCTTGTTCTCATGACTACTCAATGGCAAATTTTCTACATAGTCTCGTTTTGGTGTACTAAAATCCGTCCGGTTCCCCTCCTTTCCGGAAGTCACTATTCGCTATTACCTGGTTCCTAACTAAAACAGCTTGAACAATCGACAATGATGTATCAACAGTTATATTGTGACCAAAACTTTGCAAACCATCTTTCAAAATCTGAAGAAAAACAATTAAAAAGGAGCATTTCTGAGCAATGTTGAACAATTTCCAATTCAATAAGGCTGCCCCAAAACTAAAGCAATATATATCTTGACTCCTTTGGATTGTCTCCATTACATTACTATTATGCTATAGATTGACATAATTATTGAACCTGAACTATATGGTGCTGTAGCAAAGTTCAGCAAGATGTCTGCCCTCTCGACGCAGGGATCGTGAGTTAGAACCCTACCCGCGTCGCCATATTGTTTCCTAATATGACATCAGCACCGGACAAGTGGAAGGAGGTTGACTAAAAATGATTAAAACAGCCTTACATTATTGCGTTTAAACTAAACAAATTGGCACTTATCTTGGAGTTTTGCCTTCACCAGTAATGCCTTTTACATAGTTTTCAAAACATTTCATTTCAGTAATTACATACATCAACAAAATGCGAAGTTTATATTTTAAGGCAAACAATGATAACATTTAGTTACTTTGTCGGGTCTCAAACCAGTAACAAGTGCACGGTATTTACTGGGTAAGAAGACTCAAGACGTTCGTGTTTAAACTATTTGTGGCCCATGCGGGCCCCTGAATATAACCACTAACCTTCCGTTAGCTCGTTGGCTGAATTATTCACATGAAATAATCAGAAGTCACAACATTTTAACCAAAAGCGAGATGGGACACAAAATAAAGTTAAATATAATGTAGAGTAAACTATATAATATTCACCTGCGGAAACTCTTTCTGGACACCAAGTGTTGGTGGGAAAAGTTGATGGTGTAGTCGCGGATAATCTATAGCTTCCTTTAGACCCCAGTTAAACAATAGAGTTTCAATGGTGACCTACAAGAAGATAAATTTTGATGATTTGAGCCGCGCCATGACAAAACCAATATAGTGCGTTTACGACTATAATGGATCCAGGCCATCCGCGCAGTCTGATCAGGATCCATGCTGTTCGCTATCAGTTTCTCTACTTGTTATATGGTTTATAAGCGAACAGAATGGATCCTGATCAGAATGCGCGGATGCGTAGGCTGGTCTGGATCCATGCTGGTAGCAAACGCAATAAGTTGGTTTTGTCATGGCGCGGCTCATATATTAAATACATAGACAACTGAGCGTATCGTAATAATGTCTGAAAATAATTTTAGCATTCTTTGGTTTGCGAGTGTCGATTAAAACTAGTTTCTTTTCAAAACTCGTCAGTATTTGCTTTCACAACTTAGCTTGTCAGGATGTAAGTTTAAAAACTCCATTAATAAAAGTACTTGGCAATTCAATCAAAATTAAGCAGAAGAAGTCTTTTCATGCAATGTCTTCTATGATTTGCGGGAACATCTAAAAGAAAACGGGAAAGTTCAATCAGATATGTTTACTTCCAGCGGAAGTAACTTAATCCCGCTTGAAAATGATCGTTCACTAATCAGTTGTCTCCCTTATTTATCTTTTTCGTTGTATTTAAATCAAGATAATATAATTTTACGCCGTGTACTAAGGTCATTCAACATCTGTTAACCTCTGAAATGCGTTTGAATTAGCCACTCGGTCCTGCGGCGTTTTTTTTCTTTAAATATATCTATGCATCAAGTTGTTAAATTGCCATTATGACATACAATGATTGTTTAGATAACAAGTTTAATATCACGTTAACTACGTCCTTTTACTTGAAAATACACCAAAATCTTCATATAATGACTATTTTATTACATGTCTAAAATAAAATTCTTCATCGGGTAAAGTTGTCCGATTTTCAATTTGCAGCGCAAAAGGGACTGGCATAACTAGCAAACGGAAAAACACAGCAAATTGCAGATTTGTGAAATTGCAGTTGATTTTCCTGATTTCGCCATGTGTATCCTCTTTTAAATGTTCATTAGATGCGAAACAAAACGCTTTGTATTTTCATCATTGTTTTGGGTTGACAGAAATGATGTCGGAAGCTACCGTAACTTACAAAGAATGGTTATTTAACGTTATTTTTTATTGGTACACTAGTACCCTATATCTTAAAGGGACTCCACTGAGGTTTTTTGACATGACGAAACTGGAAATAATTTTTCGAGATTAATGCTCAGTTTGATGTAGGTCTAGATCAGTAACTTGTGTGCAAAATTTTAGATAATTCTCTTTTGCGGTTTATCCAGGATAATTATTAAAATTGTGAAAAATGACCCAAAATGGAAAAGCGTTTAAACGCTTTTAACTCAAATCGTATCAAAATAACACAAAAATACGCTTTTCAGTTAATTTTTGAGTGTATTTCTGAATTATTGTTTGCATGTCTTCCTGCATTATATACGTGACCAGCTGATCTGTGTAAAAAAAAATAATGATTTTAGATTTTAGATGTTTGAACCTCAGCGGAGTTCCTTTAAGTAATTAACGATTAGTTTCTAAATCTAGCGTCATGCATTATGACGTTAACCTACAATCGAAGCCAATGTCACTTTCTATTAGACTGTCTTGCGACCATCTCTCGAACAATCGCGAAAATGGGAACTTGCTAGTCGCATAATAATACTTTAGTTTTGTTAAGTCGATTCTCATTGATTGACGTCTTTCGGTTGATTTTATTTAAAATATGACTATTTTCTGAGTCCAAACAATCCTTACCGAATGAATATTGCACCCTATATGGCCTTGTTTTCCTTTTCTGACATCAAATTCATATTGTGCCCCATAAGCCTTATTTATAATTTTAGAGTTCAAAATATCTATCTCAAATACATATCATACTCCATCTAGCTAAGTCTTTATTTTCAGGGTCCAAAAATGCATTTAATTCCTTATTGGACTTGTCCTGTCATGTGTAAAATAGAGAGGTCTTTGCATATTGTTGAGTACAATACTGGTTTTATTGGATTCGTACACAGCTGCAATGCCTATATCAGATTCGGCTAGCGCCTCGTACTAAGACGGTTTGAAGAAGGTTTGATAGCTGTGTACCCGACCAATGGAATTCGGCATTGTACTAAACAATGCATAATACCCTCATCGTATAGTAATAGTAGAGTAACCATATTGTAAATGAAAATACAAAATTCAATTAAAAACTATTTAAAATCTAGAACACACCAGAGCGGTAGATGTTATAATCCTTGTTCCACCTGCAGCGCCAATAACCAGTTTTACATCTCCCCACCTATCTATTACTATACTCGGGCACATGGACGACAGAGGGCGCTTTCCCGGTAATATGAAATTCGCAGGCGATGCTGGAACACCGAAGAAATTGACGGTTCCTGGCGTTGAAAAATCATCCATTTCGTTGTTATATAAGATACCTGTCCTGGAACCAATTACCTTCGAGCCAAAACTGGTTATACATAAAAAGAAATAAGTATCTTTGACAAAAAGAAATAACTTAAAGTATCTTTGACATGTTTTTGTAGATGAGTCCAAGATAAGTGAATCCATATATTAGCAACCCTAATCAATACCTAAATCTTTTAAAAATAAATTTATTTGGTTAAAATTATTTTTATATCTTTCGTATCATCGACATTTTAAAAGGAACACAAAAATAGCGCGTGAATACTGAACTGGTCAGACATTCAAAATTAAGTTTTATTATTATCATCGGCAATATATATATATTTTTGAAATCTTATGATTAATCTTCTAGTATTTTAGTCTTCTAGTCTTTACAACAAAAATGATGTAAAAGAATCCAATCCTTTAATATATTGGTACATAAGAAAATCTTACTTTTGTATTCTTCAACAATTGCAGATATTATAATATTCAAACTTTTATCATGTAAAACAAAAATAATCACATCGCCGGATAAAAATATAATGTTTTGATGACCAACTGTTTGAATGTTAAATAAATAGAGTGAAATAAAATCCCTAAAGAAAGCCCAACGCGACAAAATTGAAAATGTTGCAAGCTCGGTTTGATTGAGCCTGTTCATGGACGTAAGTCACAGATAAACGGACAGACAATTGTGCAACTATGAACAAACGCTATACATTTCGCCGCTCCATTTCAGTACTTTGATATTGAAACCCTTCGAAATAGCAATGGTATTTCCAAATTCAAAGCAGAATATGTTAATTATGTTAGCATAGCAGACAAATTTTTAATAGATATATTTTCTTTTAAAGCAAAGGAAATGTTAACAGTTAAACACATAAACCACATACAACAGATTAACTGTACTCGTTATCGACACAGCATCGCCATTTGGACCTAGGACTGAAATATGTGACGTGCCCATGCTACCGCTTCCTGACACACCAAACAACTCACTATCGTAATACGACGGGTCGAATGTTTCCGTATCGCTAATTCTCGACCGAATTGCTTCGCCGTATCCCTAATCCGTCATTTTTTGAACAAGCTGGAAATATTTAGCAAAAGAAGAAACTTTAAATATATTATCCATACAAGAAATAGGATGATTTACATGGAGAGATCGATATTTACTCAGGCAAATAAATGACAAAAATATTAAAATGATTTAATGTACTCAAATCACGCTAAAATGACATTTTTTAAAGTCCCATCATGGATTTCTGTATAAATTCTATATATTTTGGGTTTGAAGCGTAAATATATCTAGATATATTGAACGAAATTTAGACGCCGACAAAATCACCGAGTAGTTTTAAAACAAGCCATGTGACTTGAACAAACCCTGGAATTTACAATAACAGATATCGTGAATATTGTATGATTGAAACAAGTCTAAGTCATTCATTTCACATGTTCTTTAACGTGTCCAGAGTTCACTGTGGCAACTATTGTGAAATCTTAACGCTCTAACCTGACCCACGTGGGTCAAGTTAGGAAACCACCATTTTATTCTTTATAAGGAGAAAAGTTTGTTTCTATGACTGCCTAGTGTGTTTTTTTCATGACATTTACAGAGTAATGAATGAAAAAGTCAAAACGAAGAAATGAAAATTTTGCCCGTGTCTCCCTTTCAATGAGGATCAAATTCAAATATAGATCTAGTGAAGCAAAACATTTTCTTTAAAAGTACAACTATAATCTAACGTTAAAGCATGCGGTATGAAGAGTATCAACTGTGGAAACAACCTGATCATAGATAATTTAGAAAACAAACAACACTTTTAATATACTACGAGTATTTCAATATAGTAATGTAATGCTTTAAATGAACAGGTTTGGTGAGTTATGAAAGGGTAACGACCTTACAACAACAAAAAATCCTAACAAACCCAAACAAACGGCTTTGCCGTATAAAGAAAAGAATAGCGCTAATGCATTTACGTCCGTGCATGAACATCCGTTAAAGTCCTAAGATAATTGAATCCATTGCCCTACTGGCTCGGGGTTTATATTTGTCATCGTACTTCTGCAGAAATAAATGCATCAAAAAAGTACATACGTTTAAAGAATACAGGAGAACAAAAAACAGCAACATTGAAACATAATGTTTAAAGGATCTATAGCGTAAGAGTCTAGTAATTTGTAAAAAGGCAATGATTGTGTAACACGTACATGGCTACAATACCCGATAACGCATATTAAGTAGATTCGTGTCAGTACAAGCTGTTACAGGAAAAAACACAATGATGCAAATTTCACCGACTTGCACGTCATTTTAAAACGCCACCCATTTTGTCGTGCAAAGGGCTAAAAGTATTTCATAGGCATTTCAATTAAAATTTTTAAAGTCTTGTTGCAATTACTTGAAAACAATATAAAAAAATACGATGCAGATGAAGTGTACCTCGTCAACTTCGTCGATGAATTCCGTCGATCCTATATCATTATCCCCAAGTCTCGATCTTAAAGAGAAGGCATGCTTGAACGCTTCAACAATTCGATGCCACGTTAGTTCAGCTGCATCAGCGTTAAGTACACTTGATGGGCCAAAATGAAATCCTGTTGCAAACATTTAAATGTTTTAATAAATATATACTCAACAGAATAGTATGGCTACATTCTATAATTTAGAGTCCTAGCATTTCTTTTGTTAATCATGGAACCATCTCAATTGTAAAATATTGCTCTAAAATCAAAGAATACTGTTCAGGTTTTCCTTTTCTACAGAGCCGAGAATGTTGCCAAATTGGCTTGAATAACCCTGTGCCTAAAGGACAATACTTAAACTATTACAGTAAATTGTCCACACTCGCATTTTATTCCTAAATATAAAAATAGTAAAAATTAGAATTTGAAAACATCCATGTAGATGTGCTCATATGGCGATGATCGTGGAATTCAAATGGGATTTTTCCGTGCAATTTAATGAAAAGCTGTAAATGGGAATCAGAGCTGACAGTATCTGTGTAAGAATGACAACATTTCAGAATGAGAATTTAAAACACAGGCAGTATATTAAAATATGATAAACAAGATAAACAAGGAAAGGCTGCGTTTAATGAACGCAGGAACGCAGCCCCCACCCGACCCAGCAACAAGAGCCAGCGGCAAGGAGCCCAGGAGGACCCCAAACAAAAACAGGACATGACACAAGGCAGAGCACAGGCAGGCAAACCACTACATAAGAATAAATAATTAGTAACTGATAAAGAACTAAAAGAAAACAAAGAAATAATTTAATATTAGGCCCATAAAATCAAAAGGCACAGGGGAAAGGGACATGAGACCCAGGGAAGGGGGGAAAATTGCGATTCAAAATTTCATGAAAACAACAATGTCATGTTGAAAGATCTTCAAATATTGAAAATACAATAACCCTGTCTCTGTCACACAGCAAGAACAACATACTGTGACACTGTAAAATTAAGAAAATTATGAGAACATTTCAAGTCAATGAAAGTAAAGTAAACAGGAAATATCTTTTAAAAAGATATTCGGCATTAGTTCAGTATATCGTTCATGCCCCAAAGGTTAAGCAGGTTTTTAAAGAAAATTATGAACTGACTTATTAACGATGTCAGTGTATCAGATGAAATACACTGTAAAGTTACTTTAATATAATATGTTCATATTCTTAAAGCTGAAATATAAATATTACTCTTACTGATATATCAATTGTGGACAAAAACGTAAATTACTTCAGCAATTATCCATTTCTTTCATTTAACTGTTGTTCATATGCCGGAATAAACTTCTTTTAATATAAAAAGGCTTTATTAGGGTTAAAAATCTGGAAACACAGTGATACGTAGGGAGCATTAATAACAACAAAATTACATGAAAATTGCTAACCCTAGCACCGGCTTGAGCGGTACTCAATTCTCAACACTTAATAGTGCTGGCATCAATGATCCCGAAGGACCTGGAAAATATAATAACTCTGAAGTGAAGTAGGGGCAACTTTTTACAGCTGCCACACAGCACTTCACACCTGCTGAAGTACAAAAATCTAGAAACAAAGTGATCTGTCCGAAGCATAAGACCGCAAAAAGTCTGTTGGCACACATTTCGCCATAATTTTGCAAACTTTCAACATCAGACAAAATAGACCAAAAGAAAACACTTTTTAAAAAAAACTACTTTAACGAAAACACTTCATATGTAGTATGCTGAAAGCTAAATAGATTGAATCTTATATATATTTTGATGTTAAAAAACTTTATAATAATACCTTTTAAGATGTTTAATATATACTGATACACAACGCCACCTGACGGTAAAGGTGGGGAGTACATCGTGTGCGAATTGTCCAGCTTAAACGAAACAGCTGGTTTTATAAGCGCTGTGTATTGGGCAAGATCATCCCTTGTAATTATTCCACCTGAAATAAAAGACAGAACAGGGTCACATTTCATTTTTTTCCCAAAAGAAATGTAATTGTCTTTTGACTTTGTTATATTGATTGCATTTTTACACATTGTCTTTTCTCAGTACCTTTCACATGTTCATGATGGTGTTTTATGTGCAGTTAATACTTTTATTATAAGGGGATGGCTTACAATCACTAATATTATTCCGTGGATCGCAGCATTTTGTTATGCGTCCTGCTAAATCTAATTTAATACTAAACTAATATGAAATATGAAACATGAAGCATTCGATCTCCTACATATATAGATAAATTACAAAAATATCTATAATTCATCCAGTACCTTTTGGGTGTTAAAGTTAAAAAATATTTTCCGAGAGTCCTATATTTGTACTAAACCATAAGTTTGTTGAGTTTTTATAGACCATTTGATCTCTATAAAAACCAACATTTCGCTTATATCTCTCAATCTGTTTATTTTATGGTAAGAAAGTTTATTCTCTATTGCAAATTTATTTTTAAACCTTTTGTGAGGTTTGTTTTCAGTAATTCTTTTCAAGTCTGTCAAATTCCTTGAAGTTTTTGATAAAATACCGGTGGGAAAGTTGGAACAGCAGTAAACATAAACATAATGTAAAAATAGTAAAGTAAATTGTAACAGCACGTGTCATTTTACTAATTTTACACACCGGGGACAGTTTTGTGTATATTGTGTTGATCAATTTGAAATTTCTAATTTAGTGTCAAAAGCAAATTAAATAGTTTTAACATTGTTGTTATTAAAAGAGGAGTTCTTGATATGAATTAAGAAATGTAAATGTATTTATTCCTTTAACTTGAAAACTTACTTCCAAGAAAATCTGATATGTGTGATACCAAGTATCAATTATGGAAGACACACCCCTTTTAAAAGTTGTATGTCATAATTCAACAGAACAAGCCGGATCCAGTGTTTGAAGTTGATGAACTTTCAAATGCCCAATGTTACAATATTGTAAGCCTCCCACCGTATCATTGTGTTCTTAACCACATTGAATTAGTATGGGGCGTTTTAAAAACGGGGCTTCACATGAAACAAAATTTTCAAAGAAAATAATCTCACAGATTTATTAATAGCTGAATTGGCAAAAATAGACAAAACAGTTTGGTAAAACACATGTACACACGTTAAGGAAACTGTGGAAGTAAAAGTTAACGGAATAAAATAAAGCACGTTGACAAGCAGAATTGTAACAAATCTTGTTGACAGTAATGATGACAATTTCGAAATTAGTGAATTTGACGAAAATGGTAATTTCATTGTACATTTTGACAATGAAAAATAATTTTAAATTTATCACCATTACTCGTTAACAATGATTGGCGGGATTATTACTAAACTTACCACTCCTATTATGTCTTGTCAAATGTTCATTAAATTTAATAGACAAGCTTATTAAAATAAAGCTAAAAAATCTTAAAGATCGCTTCATAATCATGGATTTGTGAAATAATAAGATATACTAAGTATAAAATTAAATACTTTTATTAAGTTTCAAGATATAAAGCAATACCTTAGTTTTATAGAGATGGGATTAAATACTCTGTATGTACTTGCTTGTGGTTAAAACGTAAAAAATATTGATTAATTTGTCAATAACTTAAACGCCTCTAAGCGAAGAATATCATAGCCAGACACGAACAAAAAATCTTACCAGTATGCTTAAATATTCTGGGAAAAGATCAACGAGGGACATGTAAACATCCATAAATAACTGCACACCCAGTTACATTGTGTTTGTTCGTGATAAAAGACGGAGCATTCAACATCGCTCATGACCCTAGCAGTATTCAAATCTCAAAGCTAAAAGTTTTGGAACCAATTATCTCCGAAGGACAAGAAAACCTAATCACATTTTACAGCTGCCACAATAACAAATAGTTGACAATTGCAGACTTTGTTGTATATGGTATGTCCATAAAAATGCTTAGCTTAATAAGCGAATCATACCTGCGTCAGCTATTTCAGCAAGTATAGAGTCGGTAAGACTTCTTCCATAAAAAGCATTTGGTCCTTCTTCTGCTATAACCTCTAATGTGTTTGCAAGTCGTGGACGGAACATTGTGTCACCCTCTTGATATATCTCTCCAGTATCTGGATTCGTTAGGAAATCTCTGAAAACATTCATATCCGTATCATAACTATTTAATCGTTTTATGAGAACGTTTGGTATAATACATTGTGTCATAATGCTTGGTAAACATAGTGAGTATGTATTGCAAAATTTCAATGCGGCATCACCTCACTTGTTGGACCTTACTACATACTTATTGTATTGAATGACATAGAAGTCACATGTCATGCTCCGTTTTCATTGTAAAATAAGCACATCTGTATGCTTAAACCGACGTTTTTGGACATGGATAGTAAATTATATCAATTTCTGCCCATAAACAGGTCCATGTTTGGCGTTATGGGCGCTATTCAATGCTTCAATTTGTTCAATAAATGTATGTATATATTTCGAAAAATGTCTAAAGATTTATAACGTATCGTCAAACTTTCTTGAAGAATTTTTTAGTAAATCAAAATAAATAATAAAATACAAAACATTATAGTGAAACTTGAAACTTGAAACTTTTTATTTACTTAAACGCCTATTTTTACAAAACATTCATATTCAATGGCGTTGTACAGCAATAAGAATGATAATAAAATACTTCTAATAAAATACTATTAAGAAATGGTTACAGTGTTATGAGCAGATATTAAGAAATTATTGAATGATTTTAAATGAAAATGAGTAAAATGGTATCAATTCAAGTTAAGAACATATCATGCATCAAGAATAATAAAAAATTGATAAAAGATTACTAATATCACATTGAAAAATCACTTTTAGAATATACTACATATCACAGCTATGAATTTTAAAATTTCAAACGTCATTTGCGCTTTTTCACTTTTGAATTAAAACAAGTTGAAATAGTCCCTGAACATGTGGGTCTTAAGATTTCTCTTGAATGCTTCTATAGTGTTACTGTTTCTGATTTCTGTCGGTAATTGATTATACAGTTTAGGTCCAATGTAACTAAAGCTACGGTCTGCGAAAGATTTTCTCTTATTGAAAGGAACATTGTAACAATTGTCAACACATTCTGATGATCTGAGAACTCGTTTTGCAGATTTGCTTTCTAAAAGTTCAGTAAGATAATCTGGTGCGTTTCCCTTCGAACAATTGAACATGTAAGTTAAGATTTTAAAACTTATTCTTGCCTTTACTGGCAGCCAGTGAAGATCGAACAAAGCTTGCTTAGAGCTATCATATTTACTTCTTAAAAGAACTAACTTTGCGCACATATTTTGAATCCTTTGCATCTTTTGTAAATCACAGTTTGCGATACCGTATAAGATGGAGTTACAGTAGTCTAAGTGAGACATTACTAAAGATAACACAAGAGTCTCTGTCGCTTCCTTTGTGAGGTATTGTCTTATGTTTTTGATCCGCATAAAATTTATCATGGCAGTTCTACATTTCCGCTTTACGTGTTCTTTGAAGTTCAAATTTTCGTCGAGGAAAGCACCAAGATATCGAATGCAGTTTTCTTTGTTGATGGTATCGTTTACAATTTTGATAGATTTAGTTTCACATTTGGTAAGTTGTTGCTTACTCCCAAACATAATGAATTCGGTTTTTGAGGTGTTCATTTTCAACTTATTAGAATTCATCCAGTTGTTCGTTGTTTCGCCAGCGTTTTCTAAATCACTTATTGTATTCTTTTCACTGTTTTGTATATTTGGAGAAAACGATTTGTCCATAGTATGGTCGTCTGCGAAGCCACGAAGTGTGACCGTCGGCGGAATGTCATCGAAGAGTGTGCCTGCATAGGCGAGATACAACCAGGGCCCGAGACAGGATCCTTGAGGAACAGAACACTCCAGTGCACGTGACGTCGAATATGCCGAGTTTACATTAACCCGACAACTGCGTGGGTGAAGGTAGGAGTCAACCCAGCTTAATGCGGTAGAGGTAAGTCCGTATTGCTTGTTGAGCACGTCGATCAAAATGCTGTGGTCGACCGTGTCAAACGCGGCGCTCAGGTCAATGGCGATTAAAGCAGTCACTTCCTGTTTTTCCATTGCGCCGAGAAGGTCGTTCACAAGACGCAGAAGCGCAGACTCACAGGAATGATTTTTTCTATAAGCACTTTGATTTGTGGGTAGAAGTTTATGTTTTTCAGCATGTGAATTTAACACTAATAGGGCTGCTTTTTCAATAACTTTTGAAAGAAACGGAAGATTACTGACTGGGCGATAATTCGAATAGATCAGATCAAGTCCAACTTTTTTAAGCAATGGTCGAACTACAGCCTGTTTCCATTTCTCAGGAAAGATGCCTTGACTGAGCGATAGGTTCACTAATTTAGTTATCAACGGAAGTAATTCAGTCAAAAACATTTTCAAGACGACAGTTGGTAGTACGTCGAGTTCACACGATTTCGATTGCATATTGTTTATGATTTTCTTCACATCATCTTCGGAAAGTTCGTCGAATTTTGGTAGATTTTCCACATTTTTGACCGAAGGTTCGTAGTTCGGGTAAGTTTTCAAAGATTCTCTGATTTTAGAAATTTTGTTCATAAAATGGTCCGCAAACGAATCCGCAATAGCATTGTCACTCTCGCCGCTCGGCATAGGATTTTGTACTTTACTTCCAGTAATTTCTGTCACAAATTTATATAATTTCTTTGAATCGCCTTTAAACTCCGAAACTTTTTCGCTGAATGTTTGCTTTTTCACTTTTTTAATTTCCATAAAGTATTTATTCCGGGCATTTTGAAATGAATGATAGTCCTCGGGTTTTTTGTATCGTTTCCATGTTTTTTCTGCTTTCCGAAATGATTGTTTCTTTTCAAGAATTGAATCACTGAACCATGGCTTTGGAGCACGAGTAATACGAGTTTTCTCTGTGACTGGGGCATGTTTGTCCAAAATAACTTGAATTTCATTCTCAAAATCACATACATATTCGTTTATGTCTATTTGTTCAATTTCTAGACTTTTCAGATCTTCTGAGAAAGCGTCTTTATCAATATTTTTATAGTTCCTAAACGAGACTGTTTCACTTTTGATATTTTTCCTTTTTTATTTCAGTCACAATTTTGACAACACAATGATCTGATAAAAATGGACCCTGTTCACATGATTTTATTTTAACCCCATTTTCTTGTTCAGTTATTACAAGGTCTAGTACGTTGCCCCCAATGTGTGTACTGAAGTCGACATGCTGATGAAGCCCAAGCGAAAATAAACAGTTTTTGAATTCTGATGTTGCGTGTGTACCGTCGTTTAAATGTAAGTTGAAATCGCCCATTAACATCAGGTTAGAGTTTTGCGGTATTACATCTTCCAAAAATTCACAAAATTCTGACACAAAGTTAGTGAAGTCTAAGGAAAAGACTTTCTATATTTATGGTATACCTGAATGATTGAAACTGTTCGAGAAATCTTTCTGTATTAGTAATAGCACGACGGAGCGCTTTTCCTACAGATATGCCTTTTCTACATAAGTTTATAGTTGGTAAGAATAACTGCTTCCAGGGCAGCCGACCTCCTATTTTCCACGCTTCATAAAAACCTTGGATTTCTCCAGGGACAGCAATAGCTTTGCCTCCTTTCATGTGATGAAGAAATAAAGAGTTATAATCTTTACATAAAGAAAAACATACCTACCCTGCAACATTGTCTTCTTTCCGATGATTTGCCGACTTTAAATGTTTCCAATTTTTAATAGAATTATTATATATACTACTTATTGTATTGAATTTCGATAAAACCGTTTGGTACAAAATCGATTTGATCGATCGTTCTTTCATATGACAACATTCTAACACAGAAATGTGAGAGCTAAGTTCGATAATGATGGATATACGTATCTCCCGCAAACAGCCTGAAAGGAAACAACTTATGCACCGAAGTGAAACGAGGGAAGAGAATATTGAAACCTTGATATCAATTAAGATATGAAAAGAAAAATATCAGCAAGGAAGGGCGGCATTCAACAAACACATCACCCCGACACAGGACTACCGTCAAAGAGCCCAGCAGGACACCAAACAGGACAGAGCACACGGGCAAAAAAAGGTCAGACGGGATTTTATTATTATTATTATTAACAACGCTGTAGGGTTTTATCGATCTATGAAAGGCTGCAAACATGTAATTTCCATACCTTTAAAATTTTCCCCAATCTTGCTGACATGTTCTAAGCTTCTAATGCAAACTTAATAGCTAATTTTATTTACCAACTAATAATTAATAAGAACTGTTTGAGTACTAATTGTTTTTTTTTGTAACTTACCTAACTGTGATGACGTGTTTTTGTCCTCGGTAAACATGTCCTCGGTTGAAGCTAAGGGCGCCCTTTCTCTTCCGATAACCGAATAGACATAGCCATTTGCTCTGGTTCAAGAAGACAGAACTATATTTTTATGAAATAACTCCAAGTCAAAATTTCTAAGCTCACATTGCTTTGGGTTCAAATCCCGCCAAGGACTTTATGTTCTTTATATAACTAGCTTAAGGAATACCGATGTTTCTACTCTTTGGTGTCAGCTTGCGTTGAAATGATGCAAAGAAGGGCACTTGAGGTCTTTATCCATCAGTAAAACTTGAAAGTCGACATATGACCTTTAAAGTCTTGATGCGATGCAAAACCAACAACAATTATGCAATGGCAAACATTTTTAAAAAGTCAAGGTACAAACTAAGTCTTAAAAGTTTCATTACATAATTTGATATTTATTGCTGAGTGTTGCTTTACATGTGTTGATATCATCTACATTTTTATGACTATTATGAAATTCCTAACATGTGAATGTACAATGAATGTCACTTGTAGAATGTACCTGTTATAATATGTGAGGAAATGCCCACCACCGATTCCGCAGCTTTGAGGGTTAACGACACCAGAACACAACGTGGCGGCAATGGCAGCGTCAATGGCACTTCCGCCCTGGCGTCTCATTATGTCCCTAATGGTAATTATAACTCTACTTATGTTCGAAATTTGATATATGTTGCAAATGAATAGAATTGTCAAGCCGGCTCAATGTTTATCTTAATGTCTTTTAAGGCAATCTTTCATTTAACTTAGATATTGATGCAGTAGGAAAATGGATGCAACAATAGAAAGAAACAACATGCCTAAACTTATATTGCTTGAATTCTTTTACACATTTCAGAAAGTTTGATTAATTAAAAAATGTTGGAAAACAGCGAGTTTAATTTGCATTTTTAACGTTCTTCTCGATTTGCGATCAACACGTACTAACTCAACTAACGAGCTTTCTTAAAAACAGTCGTAAAAATGATATATCTGAAAAAAATACACGAGTACCAAAATATTTCACGATTGGAATTGATTTCTTTTATCTACTGATTTTGAATATCGAATCTAAAGTTACTAATAAAGATGATACTTGACTTTGTTACATACAGCAAATTGTGAAAAGGTGATAAACTACAAAAGACAAAAGCTTGCATTAATAAATAAAACTTGCACTATGGGATATCTAAACAAACAAAACTTTCTAATGTCCCCATACAAAGACTTAAGCAAAAAATTTAATCGTAGATACTTGAATCAGTGAACCGAAAATACCAGACAAATACTATAGACTGCTTTTGAGTCCTTTGTCGGTGGTCATATAGATAAGTATCAATTCCAAAAACTCCCGACTTGGTCTGCTAACTTTGTCAATGTGTATCTAATATTATGAAGTGTACAACTTCTCTCACTAATTAACAAAAACACAAACATAAAAGCATTAAACTTTCTGAAACTCCTTTCAATGTTAAAATATATTATTATGTCAACTTACGTGCCTATTTTAGAGCATTCAAATGAATCGGTTGCCACAGCAGCGTGTCTGTAACGTCCTTCTACAGACTCTGAAGGGTTATTGAATAACTCGGGATCTTGTAGTGGAAAAGGAAAGCTGTACTCGCCACCATAGGCAAAATTATCATAGTATGGAATAGAGTGTCTATTCATATTTATATAAGCGTTTACTCCAATGCTTTGGTTTACGTTAATTTTATTAAAGACTAATAAAAGAAATGTTAAACAAAGACACACATGTTTTAAATCCATCTCAACTGAAATATTTTATAGTGATTAAGAAAAAGATCATTTAAATGGTATGCTCTGTTTCCAGATAGATCTATCGAGTCAACATGCAGTGATTTTTTTTTATTTTAGTAATCAGACATACTAGTTTGTTAACCAATAGCATCAGGCCTATAAGGGATATTAAAGAAATGATTCGATCAGAAATGTGTCCATATTACGTGTTAATTAACCAAATTTATGACTTAATTGCCTGCTAAATTGCTTGTAAAGTACTTTTTGCTTATATCTATAAAGGCATATAATAATTTGAATCACTTCCGTGTTTTTCATTTGATCAGTTTCACCGCATATATGAGAGGTAAAAGATCAAAGCACTTCTAATCGGAAATTGGTTTGTGGTTCAGCAAAAAAGTAGTCCTGAATCTATTGATAAATTACAGCTTGAAAAAGTCTAAATTATATGCATACATACATGACATAGGTGCAAACTTTCATGAAGAGATTACATACATTTATAGTATTTGTTCAGCATATGCAGCTTTTAATATTGTCTAACAACCAATGCAACTTTTCAGAATTTGATTTGCTTTCTAGACATATTTTAGGAATATCTTGCTGTTAGATTTAACTCGTTCTTTGTAATATAATTTAAAAAAGAAATGGACACACAATTGCTCACATTACATTTCTCAATGTATATTTATAGGTGTATGATTTCTGTAAAGACTACTAGTATATACATACATTGGCCTGCATGCAACAGTTTCACTTATTAAGCACTTTAGGTCTACATAAATAACATCAAACAAATGATATATACAGCTGCAGAATCATTGAAACACGTTAACCAGTATCTATAGGTTATATTGTACCATGTGTATCACTGTTTTTCAAGTTTGCATATTGAGAACTTACTTCAATTATTAAATCATTATTCAATTGTAACCTTTTTATTATTCAGTCATTATTTAATTGTAACATATTTATAATAGAAACACGATTTTAACTGTGTTTTCTTTGTCGTTTATTTTCTACGTTTTTAGTGTAACCAAATATAGAAAAATTTGTATTATTCGAAATTCATTTGATATGGAAGGTATAATTAAAGTTATAATGCATTTAATTGGTAGTATACCGTTTTCAAATAATCATCAATTATCTTCTCTAGCGGTATATCTCCTTGTTCTTTGCTATCATTGTTAGTACAGCAATAATATATCTTACTAGATATAGCCATATGCCTATCTTACTTCATAAAATGAAATATGACTTAGATCAATACTACTTGTATTATTCACTTCTACCTACTGAAGGTGAAACTTCGAGATACAATCTACGCAATATTACGGATATATAGTCTATTCGAACACGAACATCTCTATAATAAAACACTGTCCTGTCATCTATCATTATACAGTTGAACGCCCTTCCTAGTTAACTTAAAGTACAACATTCACGATCATTGTCCTCTTTAAAATATCATTTGAGACTAACAGCTCTTCATTCCACGTAAATTTCTTAGAAGGCGATAGGAATAGTCGGGTTTTTCATACTTGATTCCACTCTCAATGTAGATCTTTAAACCAGCGTATATTTCTCCCGAGTCAGTGTAAGAAACAACCCTGACTCCGATTCAGTATATTAAATCAAATAATATATTTCTATCAATGGACGTATACTGTCATACAGTATTTGATGTATTTTGGATCTTCAAAGAGAAGGCCTTTATAAGTTTTTTTTTCGGATCTAACCCCTTTTCAGTATCGTGTACGTTTATAAAGGGTATTATTTGTATATTTGCTGTGAAGTTATTTGAAAAATTTATGTTTAATGTAATAATGCAATGGAACCATTTTATACGCGGTTTAAAACTACATTTTATATGAACTTTTTCATATAGCACATTTATATATAACCTAACACGAAATTCTATTTAATTCATTAAATAGCACGACTTTTTATAGCTTTTGCTTCGTATCTATTTAAATCTGTCGTATTCATCAACCTGTTATACGATGCTTTTTAAAGTACATTTTACATAACTCAACTTTAATTTTTGATAAGTTTTTCTATAATCTAGAAACACGACTTTTAAATAGAAACTTATTATACATTGAACAATTTATGTTGGTAGTAATGAATTTGTTTTGTTAATATGCCGGTGCAATAGCACAGATGAAAATAATTTTACTTCAGTCACACTAAACTTTATCACTTTGTTTCCAGATTTTTTTCATCACTTAGTACAGTTTTACTTACATTTAGTAATAAACATCAGCCTGAAGCTTATTTGCGGTTTATTTATCATGTTTATTCACATTCAAAAAACCAACGAACACATGTTCCGGTCTTTATTTTTAATGATAAATCTAATGATATCGAGCGGCGTTTCCTAAATATGCAATTCCTGTTTGAAGTATAATCAAAACATAAACCTAGATGAATGTAATTATATATTAGTAATACATCTATTCCATACTTTTCGTGCAAAAACTACCAACCACACTATTCATTGAATATGACGGTGAAATCAAGACTGAAATTTGAAAATTTATTAAAATGTTCTTTCATTTAGAAATTAAAATGCTATAAATCACCACTAGGGTGAGTATTTACAATAAACTCTAAACTTTAGAAGTATATTATATGGATTTTGATATCTTCCTGGAAATTTGTCAAATCAAATAGAGGATATTGTAACAAAACTGTTTAACAAGGTAACTTTGAAAATCTTTACTGGATTCGGAACATCTACCGGACAAAAACCGAACATTTTTAAATGAAGCTCACAAACTAAACACGAAAAAAAAGCCGTTCAATTTCTGCTTGCTTTATTATTTATTATTCTTAATATGCAAATTGGTAATTTGTCATGAGGCCATCAGTTCTCACGCATGCACACTCTATTTGAAATCCCCAAGGTATAATCAAAAGCTAAATAACATATAATGGTTTGAGTAAAAAAGTTTGATTAAGATGAAAATAATAGAAAAAAGCCCTTTTGATGTTGTGAATATCAACAAGCACCTCTTAAGGTTGTCTGTGTTTTAAAGATGTACAATAGGAAATGATTTTTCCCTGATTAAATACAAACCAAACCTTTCATCAAATTTGATTTTGTTTAAGTAAGTAAATGCGCATTAAGTTTGCAAGACAGAACATATAATGTTCAACAAAGGTCTTAAGATACAAAATCAATATTTTATCGTTTATATTCTGATGAAAAAATAGATAACATACGAGACAGATTAGATCAGGAATCGTTTGAAAACGCACGTATTTCAACTTGAATTGAGCAACCACATTCTTCTGTATCTCCGCTAACAAATATATAATCTGTTAAGTTCTGTGCCTTGATTTATTTCTGTGGGCTACAAAATGTAGGAACAAATCCATGGATATAGTACACCTTTATAGGTAAACCCTTCCCCTTAAAAAATACAAAACAAACAACAACAACAAACAACAACCAAACAACATACAATCAAAAATTAAACATTTAAAAAATGTTCTGGGAATATTGCAGCGAAAACATAAAAACACATGATTCAACTTTAAATGATTAATGATTTTTTTCAAAATTTAGAACAGTTACTGTAGTAGAATACACTCCGAAGGGTTTGTGGTAAAGAGTAATTGATTCTTTTTCATTATGCATGTCATATAAAAATCACACAAAGAACCAGTGATGGATAATATATATAAACGTTCCTAAAGAATATATAAAATAAGATTCTCAACAGACGATAATAAGAAAAAACAAGAGGTTTGTGCATCCCGATGTGAATGGATTGTCTTTATTTTCAGTGATACAAACTATGTAAGTCATTTTATTACCATCATACCGCAACCAAAAATTGCTTGCAAGCCACTCGGTACGAAAAACTCGCTTTGGAGCATTATCATTTTGCTTGGATTTCTCAGTTGTTTCAGCATTCGCCGATTGATTTAGTTGTGAAGCCTCATTTGGTATAGGCGCATCATTTTGCTTGGATTTCTCAGTTGTTTCAGCATTCGCCGATTGATTTAGTTATGAAACCTCATTTGGTATAGGCGCAGAGTTGTTTACGGTAGATTTTGTCGCCCAATCAACGTTAACATTGTCTTTATTGGAGAATGAAGTCAATCGTCGCTGCATTTTTTTCTAAGCAGACATTTTGAATTTACCCGGATAATTACGTCACAATCTGAAGAGTCTGAGCGCTTTTAACGTGTAATATTCACTAAAGCGTCTAAGATAAATCATGTGACCGATCAGCGGATGAAATTCATGTTATTTATAGGACAAAATATATACAACGACGCTCGCAAAATATGTGTCACGGAAAACGCACGGCTATAATATTACCGCGTCAAATGCAAAAGTACTGCCTCACAAAGGCAGAAAACGCTCTCTAGAGAAAACACTGCATGTAGTGATGTAATTAAGTGAATGTGAATGAAACCAAATAAAGCTTGATACTAAGTCCTTAAATATCCTGTGTAATGTGCTCAAGTTATTTCATAAGAGGTCATGACTTCAAATTACAGTCATTGACATTCCAACATGAGTTTCTCTTTCATTAAACTATATTTGAAGAAATGCCATGGTTTGGGGTATCGTAGCTTTAGCAGTCCCTAAAAGGGGCCAATCAAATAAATATGAGCAATTTTTTATAAAAGATTACTATAAAAATGCTAATAATGTTAAAGTTTGGTGATCATCCATCAATAATTCTGTAGAAAAAGCTGTCTAAAGGTTTTATTTTTTACTGTTTTATTTTTAGCTCCCTTGACCCCTAAAAGGAGCCTATTAAATTAATATCAGCAACTTTGATAAAAGACTCCCTAGAAGCTACAGACAAAGTTTGGTGATCATCCATCAATTGGTTCTGTAGAAGAAGATGTCTAAAGGATTTTCTATTTTTAGGTCTAGAGACCCCTAAAAGGGGCCAATCAAATTAATATAAGCAAATTTGATAAAAGACTACCTAAGAATGCTACAGACAAAGTTTGGTGATCATCAACCAATTGGTTCTGTAGAAGAAGATGTCTAAAGGTTTTTCTATTTTTAGCTCTCTTGTCCCATAAAAGGGGTCAATTGAAATCATATGAGCAAATTTAGGTGTGACTGTCACAAGGATGCTACAG